ATATCAATATCATCCTGATATCATCCTTTTAATCCCGATATCATCCCTGTCCCAAATATGTGATTTATCACTTGCTATTATATACCTGATATTGCTCTAACCATAGTATAAATGTGATAACAACCTCCCTCGATCAACTTCGAAAATAATTTAGCACCGTTGATAGATGTCACGCTGTGCCAGTTCCAAACTACCATGCACAATAATAGATGTAGCGTTAATACATTATGAAAAACATCATATAGTGTGGGATCCACAGTCTTTTCTGCATTTCTTTTCATGTTTATATGGTCGTTCTGCTTATTTAAATAAAGACAAGTGACATAAATGATTATTTTATTAATTATACGAGGGGTGATCAATAAGTAATGGACGCTTTTTTACACAGATACTTTTTATAGACCAATCCCTTTGATTTTCCTACAAGTCATACATCATTCAATTATCTATCAATTCTGAAGATTTGAAGACAAAATATATAATACATATTGATATATCCTTATTTCCGTGAAGGAGGTACAGGTACCCCGGGACCGACATTTACGTCACATATTCAGTTTTTAGCCAGTTTGTAAATTTCAGTTAGATTTGAACGTTTTATATGCAACAAGTTTTGTGTTGTTTACATTTTTTGCTGACTGTTAACACATGAATAGAAAGTATTGTAATGTCAGAGTGTTGTATGGAAGGGGTTTGCAGGTCAATTTGAGAAAGCATTGTGGAAGAAAGGGGTGGGGAGAGAAGGGAACACCCTACTCCATATGGACAATGCACTTGCCCACAGATCTCAAAATGTTCAGAAAACAATATCCCTGGACCTCAAAATTGAGCCCTTGGCCAATGCACCATATTGTCCAGATCTGCTCACATGTGACTTGTTTATTTCTATACTACTTATTTCTATAGAAAAAGGATGCAGGTTTATTGACATTGATGAAATAAAACAACCCGTGCAACTGCATCTTGCTACCATGTCAGAGAATGGATTCAGCCTTGTCTCACAATCTTGAGTTAAGAGGATGGGGAATTGTGAACATGTAGCACTTGATGGAACCTTTTTAGAGGGCCCTGCGGAATGAATGTGGCATGAATACCACATAGTGATGATAAAATATTCAAAATCAACTATTAGGCATAACAAAATGGGGTAATTCATGACCTAATGTTTTTGTTCAGCCTGCATTCAACTGCATTGCATGTTAAACAATCTATAATAGCTTCAGAATATGTGACGTAAATGTCGGTCCCGGGGTACCTGTACCTCCTTCACGGAAATAAGGATATATCAACATGTAATATATATATTGTCTTCAAATCTTCAGAGTTGACAGATAATTGAATGATGTATCACTGGTAAGAAAATCGAAGGGATTGGTTGATAAAAAGCATCTGTGCAAAAAAGCGTCCATTACTTATTGATCACCCCTCGTAGATAATAGGAATATTCGGAAAATTAGACTAGAATGGACAGTTAAATATTGCTTTAGTTTTGAATTTGACGTTAAACCCCGCCACTGTTGCTGATAAGTATTTTAATAATCTTAGATGATACTATCATCTAGATAATTATTGAAAAATATTCCAGTGTGGAAAATCCTGAATCTCTTATTTTAGCTGTTTCGATTTGTTCCAAGAAAATAACCGCATGTATAACAATCATAATCGTTACATATGCCATACATGGCATTAGGCTTGATTTAATGGAACATTCATTTGATTCTATTGCTAGTGTAAACATGTAGAGCCTGTATTCTACACTAGAGCGGTTGTATGCACATTAACAATCTTGTGTACCATTTTGATGTTACCACCAGAAGTGGTGATATATTGTTATAGTCTTTTTGTAGACGGTGGTCGGTGTCTGGTGTTCTACGGTTGCCGTCTGTTACAAATGGCAGGTGATGCCACTTTCCATGACAATGCCTTGTCTGTTATGTCAACCGTATATTAAATGATCGTCATACCAAATCACCTTTCAACGGTGAGCATATGGCAATAACTGAGGTTTTTAATTTTAATCATATCTTCAAATGAAAATGGGGTTCTGACATGGCTTTTAAAAATGCATGGCCGATTTTTTCAAAGCGATCTTTTGTCACACAATCGGCGGGATATAGTTCTACAGCTGATTCACTTTTGGGCAGCCAGCTTGCCATTTTGAAGGTTTTTCATGTGTCTTGTTCATTGAGGGTTTACTCCCCTCCCCCAGGACACACCTCTATTGGAGGTATTATTTTCTTCAGTATTTCTTTATTGATTTTGATTTTTGTGCTATCAGCAAAAAGTGGGTACTCCAGGGGGCAGAATTATAAGCTGTTTTTATTCAATTTTTGATATGACTTTTATAATAAGCAATGACTTAGTGATCGTGGAAGAATTGAAGTGTTTTCTTCACTAGTGACTAGGGAAGAAATTGATACTTTTTTCAAAAAGTGATCATTTGGAACCTGGTAAGATTTCTCCGCTATGACAGAGCATGTTATTTTTTATGAAAACGCTAGGAATACTTCACAATTTATTTTTTAACTCACATGTTTCATTATATCAAAGGAAATTATTTACTCCATGCAATGGATATATCATTTGTGGGTAATCTTCACTTCTGTTTGAAGTCCCATAACGCTCGGAGGAAAAGCTATTGGAAATGGCGCCGGAGTATCATACTCCAAAATGTACCATTTTTTCAACTTTTTAATGGCACGATATAGTGACATGATGATATTTACATATGTAAAAAAGAAATGGTACATTTTAGAGTATGCTACTCTGGCGCCGTTTTCAATAGCTTTTACTCCTAGCGTTATTGGACTTCAAACAAAGGTGAAAGTTACGGGCAAATGATATATCCATTGCATGGAAATTTTCTGTGATATAACGAAACATTGAGTTGAAAATAAATTGTGAAGTATTCTTAGTGTTTTTATGAAAAATAGCATGCTCCGTCACAGCGGACAAATCTTACGATACCAGCCTGTGAAACTGAATGATAAACTTTTAGTTAGAGCATTTTGTCAGGACTTCTGGATCGGCCCTTGTATATTTGGATTTGTAGTATCAAACTAAGACGTACATGTAAAACAGCTTTAAATTTAATTTCTTTAAACGTTTTGGGTTTCTAGAAAGTGAAAAGCCATAATCTTAAAATACAAGGTCTCAAATGAGTATTGCCTATAATAGGGGTGCGTCCTAGGAGGGGCTCCATATTCGCTCCAGAGATGACAATGAATCACAATTCATTAAGTAGACATCCTGTGTGAGTAGAAAATAAAAAAATTATATCTTCCGGGTGCATGGGGACCATTGCGTCCTACTAAACTATAAGTATGTAATTAAATGGGGACGCATTGAACCAGTACGCCGTGTTTTTCAATGATTCACCCCGATTCTTTACAGACAGCGCCTGATTCAAAATATGCTTTTGGTCTGGAACTCTTGGTGGATGAGTAAAATGCATCTCTTCTATTCCAAATTGATACCGTTGTTATATACTTGATTTCATTATTAAGTTTAAATTATGCAATATTTTGTTCTGAAAATGTGTTTTCGTTCATATTAGTAAATCTGCTCGGTTTTAATGTAATTACGACATATTAAAACTGAGTAGGTGAATTTAGGCAGCCGATAAAAAACAAACAAAATCATCATGTTCAAAGCAGTAAATGAAGATGATATCACAATAATCTACTGCAAATATAACAAAATCTAAAAGGTCCACTGCATGAGCTAAGAGCTATGCAGCCGCATACTATTGAGAGTCAATGGTGAAAAATGCTCAGAATTTCGAAATTTTGTGTTGTCTGTGTGTGCGTTGTGATTGTAGGTTTTTATCATTCTGTTTCACCTGAAACATGAATCAACACGACAAATAGTGACATAAAAACAGGTTGCCCTTTCCAGTTCAAAGCATTTTCTGAATAATTAGAAAAAAATTGTTTGCCCTCGTGAAGGCTCCTTTCATTTTTCTGTTTTCCTGTTTAACTTCAGACAACCAATAAGAATTGGATCCAAATAAAAATGAAAATTCACATCCTCGTTTGGCGTTTATCACTGTTTTTGCGCACCGCGATGTTATTTCATCTCAAGCATACCACCACTGATCATGACGATAAATAAAAATGTATAATGTTTATAAAAAAAGTTCTCGTAAAGGATTGGCATCGATATGGCAAACTGAATTGAATACATGTTTCTCGTAAACCAGTTATCAAAAAATCTGAACATTTTACATAGTCGATTTAATTATCATCTTTTGAATGGTAACAATTTAATTTGAAAAGAACTATGTAATACCTAAGTTTCTCTATATTGTTTTAGAAAACACACCGGAATGAAATGAAACACCCATCCCAACCTCATTGGAACAAAATGACATACATGTCAGACAATTTGTTTAGGTCTCTCAATATTGAAATTGTACAAAAGAAAGATTGGTTCGTTTTAAAAAAAAGTATCTATTTTATCTATTTTTTATTTTTTTTATTTTTTGAATTCATTTTGTTAAATGAACCAAACTTTTCTTTGTATAACTATAATATTGAGAGGTCTAAGAAAATGTTGTACATGAAGTTTACACCCCAGTCACATTTGTCGCACGGCGGCCGCAAGTCGACCGCAGATCAATTAAATCGGTGAATTTCTGCGGCGAGCGTAGAAAAACTACGCTTGCCTTGCGGGCTCCGTACGGCGTATGCAGATTTTTACAGGCCGCAGGGAAGGCGTAGAAATTATAACTCAGAGTTATAATATTTGTTCATTTCTGAGGTCCCCGTAGAAATCAACTGGCTCAACAAGATTGAATCAATATTTGTCAATGTTTCACGATCACTTTTCATTTGATATTACATCCTAGCACTATGAATAACATTTATAAATTGTCCCGATGTAAATAAAATGAAAAAAGTATTATTTATCAACAGAAATTTAAAATTCACCGTGCGGCTGCCGTGGGAAATGTGACTGCAAAAGTATGAGAGCGCAGAAATTTCACGGCGAGTGTAGAAATGTTACTGTCCGCAGAAATGATAGACCGCAAGGTCGCCATAGGAAATGTGACTGGGGTGTTAGGTCTTCATAACTTTTGAGTAGTAATTTTCAAAAACTTGTTTTTTCGTATAGGTAATCCTGTGTATATGTAGGGCTTGCAGAGCAAAAATCACTGATTAACAATAAATAAAACACATTTTTTATGGTGTCTTGTTTTTGAAGTATCAAAATAACCCTGAAAACTGAATTTTTATTCACTTCCATTTTGTTATTGTCTCGTATACCATTATTCTGCCCATCTAATTAGGAAGAATTATGGTGTCTTGTTTTTGAAATATCAAAATAACCCTGAAAACTGAATTTTTATTCACTTCCATTTTGCTATTGTCTCGTATACCATTATTCTGCCCATCTAATTAGGAAGAATTATGGTGTCTTGTTTTTGAAATATCAAAATAACCCTGAAAACTGAATTTTTATTCACTTCCATTTTGTTATTGTCTCGTATACCATTATTCTGCCCATCTAATTAGGAAGAATATGACTCGTGTTCCATTTTGACTGATAAGGTACTGGATGAGCTTGGTCCATGTTTTTGCTTGCAGGATTGCAATTGATTGTTATGCTGCCACTGTTTTTAGTCTCTTTCCCAGTTGCATCCCTCTTTACCCGTCCTTGGAATGTATGTGTTTCAAGGGCCTCTGAGATGGCTGTATCGGCCTCTTTGAAAAGATCGGGGACCTATACTCTCATCACATCCCGCTAATTGGGGCGCCACTTTTTACATCCACTTTAACACAACCTAAAGTAGATCTTTTAAAAAAAACAGCTTTTTGCACATAATTTTAACAATGTGCCTTCACCAGAATGTCCCTGTGGTCATCACTCTGAAACACCAAAACGCTTTTTTCTACAGTGCCCCCTATACAGTAACCCAAGATGTCAACTCCTTAGAGATCTCCATATGGCGGATTGCTTAAGTGTATTTTTAGATTGTAATTCATCTGATAAAATAGACACGCTTTTATTTGGACACCCTGATTTTGATGATAATACAATATCTTAATAATCAAAGCAAGTGTGTCATTTTTGCAATCCATGCACCAAAAACCTACTTGACCTGTAACCAAACTTCGAACATTAAGCACCCAACTTGACCATTTTGAATAAAATAATGAATCTTTCTTAGTAAACTAAAAAGATTTGCATGAAACTACATTTTGGTTTTCAGTTTGACAATAATGTTAATTGTTACCTAGTCAAACTTAACTATTGTATTATTGTATAATATATATATGAAATAAATGATTATTAGAAAAACACAACCTTCGAATACTTCAATAGAGTTGAGTTCATTGGCCTCTGGAGGGAGTTTGACATCTTGTATTTGATGATTGATCAGTTGCTGTATTACATCAGGACCGTAACTGTGGAAGTATGACCCACTTTGGCCTGTGATACTTCTTAAATATGAGAAAAATAGGTGAATTATGTATTTGCATCACTCATACTATGAACGCCTATAATTTTAATAAATTAAAAGATGTTCTTTAAATATTTTTTTGTATGTCAGAATTTTACTCTTGTTTTGAAATATGTATGTGTATTTTAGATAAATGAAATTCCGAACGAAATGACAGCTTACATTTTGATCATTGCCTTTTGTTCTCTCCACTTGCACAATATCACTAAATAACGGTTACCGGTTAACATCAGACAACCAATCAGAATAAAATAAAAATGCACTTCCTACTTCCTCGTTCATGTACATATTTAAGACAACGCAGTTGCATTTTCTCGCAAGAGAATCTACAAAATCATGTAAGTATTTTGCTAGTTTTTTATATTGTCATTAAGCATGGCATTACATTTTTAAATATGTAATTATTATTTCACTATATAAGGAAATCGAATTGATAGTTTTCTTTTGAGTTCTAGGAATGAAATATGACGTATTATGTTTGCGCAATTTGTAACACTTTAGTTTATATATGTACATTGTATTTGTTTATCTTTAAAGATGTTCGATTTATTATCTAATTAAAGTACATACGGTATTAATAAACACTATAACTTTTAATTATAATTTTAGCATGAGTTACACGTTTTTTTATTTGTCAATTTTACTCGGGCAATTTTGATAAAACGATAAACACATTTTTAATACTTTCGATCAAATTGTTTTTTGGGATTTGCTAATATATTAATAAAACAAAACGAATTTTGAAGATTTTACTTTTTTACACATCAAAAGTGCGACAACACGCTATACAAAATTATGCAAGCTGAGCCTAAAACAACTGACGGTTAGGCGAGGGGGAATGGGTAGCATACTTCAAACAGTTTACACATAAACACCATGTCGTGTTTGATAGATTCAACAGAATTATGATGCTACACAAAATCATGGACCAAAATCATGTTAGTGATAAACAATTAGTCTTGGTCAGAAGGAAAAACAATGGCCAAAGAATGTTGTACATCTGAAAAAAAAATTTATGAAAAAATTGCAGACATGAAGGTTTTTTGTATCAGAGATTTTTGTATTTTATTGGCACGATGGGACACAATCGTATTCAAAATTAAACCATTGTCTTTTTTTTAGAAAATCCAACTCCAGCTTCGGATTGTTCAACCACGGGAATCAAGTTGAAGTCATTCTACAAAGCAGCATGCAGTCGACCATTCTATCGCTGATTTTGGTAGCTACATTCGCTGCACATGGTAAAACAGCATTTCTGTGAATTTCTGGGTTAATATATATAACCTAAAGGGTGTCAATGTTCTCCCCCATTAGATTTAACATCCACATAATGTTACATTACTTCCTTGTCTGCATAATATCTAAATTGCTCTTTGGCACTTTAAAACTAGGTGTCATGGACTCCACAAGAGTTCCAGATGACTAGCTCAGCTAGATGCACATTAATGCACAAGAGTTCAAACTTTTGATATTAAAGGGTTCCGATAAGCTTCCCGTAAAAAAACAATATGGCGGCTCAAAGGCGAGTCAACTGGATCAGTCCATTTTTAAGAAATAAAGGGGTTTTGTAAAATCAAGTTTATTGAAATTTTCTTGGAGATAAAGTAATCCGTTTATAATGATACTGAAAACATTATTGAGAGAGCGATTGTTCAAAGAATGCATGTACAACAGCCAATATAAATCCTTGTGTTAGAACTGCTTTGTTTCATTTGGAGGATATTTCATATGTCAAGCTGTGTACTAATACGTCATGGGGAAATTTAGATGTCAATTTTTCCAAATAGAATATCCTTCAACCATGAATGTGAAATTGATTTGTCAAAATAAAAATATCCCTTTTATAATGTGACGATCTACCATATACTAATGCTATATAGTGGATGAGCTCGAACCATTTTTTACTCACGGTATTGCATTTTTATAATTATGTTAATTATATGTAGTATATCATTTCTCATTGTTTTTGAAAATAACAGTGTCTAGTATTTCAGCCTCTTCGAATTATTGCCATTTATATCCCCTGGTTATTTTTATGAGGGGGTACTATATGAAAAGCATAAATAATTTCTGTTAGATACTTCCAATCAAATTTTATTTCTAGGGACTATGTATCTATGTATAACTAGTTGCAATGACAAGTTTGATCATGATTGGTCAAGTGGTTGCCGTGGCAACACAACTTAAGTGTAAAAAGGGTCTAGTGCACTTTCCATTATGATTTCCCCATGAACAAAGTGAATCATATTTAGATGTAAAATAAAGAATACAATGTCACATAATACTAGTACTTTTAATTTGGAAAATATTTAAGCGTCTGGACCTATATGGGCTGAGGTTGAGGTCATTAAGTTCAGCAAGGGTGTATTGACTTGACATTGGATTTGTTCTATTGACTTAACATGGTATATCACATCAGATGTGCAAATATAAAGTTTGCAATCGATTCAGGTCATACTTCAAATTAAAAGATTATACATTTTTTCATCATTTTTTCCCTAAAAAATGGATATAGAAAAATGCTTCAAAAGTAATTTTTACACTTATGAAATCTCAAACAACTTTGTTGATCCAAAGATTATACTGTTATGTTGCATTACTTAATAACATATTTGGGTAAGATGTAGGGATGTGTTGGATGCAAATGGATTTTGACAAACACAAAAAGACTTCCTGGTTTGGCATCTCTACCCCTGTACACGTTATGATTTAATATTGGCCCTAATAAGTGGCCCATTTATCAATACAATGCTGAATATAGGTCAACAAGATACTAGTGTACATATGAATGTAATAATAAAAGCAGTATATTTATTTTGAAAAATCAGATGAATTTATTTTTGTTCATGGGGAGATCATAGTGGAGGTCGCATTAGATCCTTTGTAAATATTTCGGATAAATCCATCAGTTCTTTAAAAGGTAAGCGACTGCTAATCTCTTCGAATTGCACCAATCAACATGAGGTTGACTTTGGAAACATATTTAAGGAGTTTTCAAGGAGATAACATGATTTAAATGATTAATTGAATGATATCTATGACTCTAGTCCATATTCCTATTTGGTCACTACCTTTCACACTACTTAAAAGTGGGCGTGGTACTTTTAGGTAACATTCTTGAGTAACTTCTGTTATATACCTCCAATCATATTCATACTTCCAGGAACTATGTATGTATATATAGTTAGTTGATATTGCAAGTTTGATCATGTTTGATAAAATGGTTGCCATTGCAATACAGCTTACATGCGAAAATTCGTAGTTATTTCAGATTAACAATTAATATCTTAAACCAATCAAAATAAAGTTGTGTTTGAAACCATTTTAAGGATTGTTCAATAAAAAAGATGATTTTTGGAATACTATCAGTAAGTTCTGTCTTAAAAAGCTATAATATATTAAAGTATGAAAAATCGTAAAAAAATTAGAGGGGGTGGTGAAAAAGATGAATGTATTTTGAAAAGAAAGCTTGTTGTTGGGTGGATTAAACACGATTTATGAGGCAATCAAATTGTTCTTGATATCATTCTTTGAACTTTTCTTGAATTACATTGGCCTTTCATATGCATTCATTTTTTACAGCCAGAATATACTTGCGAAAAATTATCAACTGTCAAAAATCTGTTGAACCAACTTCCGTGACTCTTTTTAAGAAAATCCCTTTGGGTGCCCAAATTTTGAAGTAAAGTAGCTTTTCAGGTCTTCTTCAATAGAAGACTTTCATTAATTTTATTTGTGTTCAGTCTGTATCTCGTATTTTTACAATTCGTAGTTTTCTTCGGCTCCATTGCATAACATGGGATATCAAAATAGCAATTTTTGGAATTTCCAAAACACTATATTCTGAACCGAAAGTTGAATCAAAATATGGTTAGCAGATTCGAATTCCTGAGAAAGTCTTACACTTCTTCCATAATACCTGAGACTAACATAAAATTTTATGATAGTCTCAGATAATACCCACGTTAAATGTGGAAAACTTTTTGTTTTGACCTTTGAATTTCCGGACACCATATCTCAAAAGTAGGTAAAAATATACTCTCTGACAGCAAAAAGCTAACACTATGAGCATACACTTGGCTATCAATATACCTTATTTTGAAGAATATATTATTAAAGTGTTAAGTTTTTACAGAATCGCAAAAATAAGGAAAACTATAAATTTGACCTCGATTTTGACCTGGGCCTTTCAGTGCCCAAATTTTATTTGTATTAAATCTGTACATCATATTTTTACAATTCATAATTTTTCTGCTGGCCCATTGACATAACATAGGATATCAAAATAGCGGTTTTTAATTCTCAAAATGCAATCTGAACAGGAAATTCACTACCTCAAACAGTCAAAAGGTGCCAAGTGAAAAAATTGTGATATCAGTTCCAATTCCTTAAACAATTACTACATTGGTATATCTACACTGTGGAGTAAAACTGTATTTCCAAACTTAAAAAATATGTTGATCAACATGGAAAAGTGTTTTGGAACTTCTGAAGAGCTATACATGACATGGGCACTTTTTAGATGGTTTTACAGATGAGCAACTTAGAGTGGGATATGGGTTATTCAATAGAATCTTCCATTTTATTTTATTTGGAAAACAGTAGTATTATGGAATAAACTTTGATATTGAATAGTATGATTACTTAAAGTAGTACTATCAAGAAAATAGCATCTAATCTAAAACTGGTACTTCTTTTGACAGAAAAGATTATATTGGCATTCATTAATGCCCCCTCCCACAACACGAGTCACCATAATAGTAACCAGTAAAATTTGGAATATTGATACGCGTCATTATTTGCACACCCTGTGAACATTTCACAAAGTAGAAAGTCACATAGCTTATTATATCATTAATGCCTTAATTAAATAGACATCAATATATGGATCTGGGGTCAATTAGAGAATAACTTTGGAATTGGCAACCATTTTAAAGTTTGCACATTCACCAGACAGGGCAGAGGTACATGACCGGTTGAAAAACCAAGAAAAGAATTAAAATGAAGTTTTACTTGGCCTTACTCGCTCTTATTAGCATTTATTCAGGATGTAAGTATTTTTTTAATTATATAAATACATAATTATGTCACCACCAAAAAGTGGTAACGTATTGTGGTGGTCTCCGTTTTTTGTGGCGGCGGTTGGCGATCGGCGGTTGGCGTCTGTAACAAATTCTTAAAACTTCCAATAACTTAACAAATACTTTTTAGATTGACTTCAGTTTTTTAAAATCATCTATAAGTTTTCAGCAGTTCAAATCTGATTTTAGATTTGATCTTCGCAAGGTCAAAAAGGTCTTTTTTCAACTTTCCTCATATTGACCAATGTTTTTTCAAAATCATCTACAAGTTATCAGAAGTTCAAATCTGACTTAAGAATCGACCTTCATTGACCTTTTGAAGGTTAAAAGGGTCTTTTTCAACTTGCTTCAAATTGATCAATATTTTCAAAATCATCTACATGTACAAGTTATCAGAAAAAACTGACTAAAAATTTGACCTTCAATGAGGTCAAAATGGTCAATCGGGAATGGCAAACTACTGTATGAAAAAATTATTTACAAGATTTTAATATTTAGCTTTCGACACCCTGCCAACAGGACGAAAATTAATCAAGAAATAAAATATTTATATAAACACTTCTTGGTACACAATAATACACTAGTAACATAGAGATATGAAATACAAATGGTGATGTTCTAATGGGCTAGCTTGGCAACCATTGATTAATCAAGTTTACATTAAAAGAATCAATAAGTTACATAAATTTACAAGCGGAAAGAGTTATCCAAGTCCCCTCCCCTAATTCCATCTTCATTTCCGTAGCGGAAAGTATAGAATATGTACATGTGTAACATTAAGTGTGCAATGACTTCAGTATGAATGAAATGCCCCTTGGTGTGCTGGTCTTGGATTGTGATATTGGTTCTTGAATGGTGGGGGAAAGGGGGTGTTAGATATTGTTTATGTTAACGTTAGATCATAGTTTTGGGATATATGTTTTTTTTCTTATGACTGGTGTACATTTACTTAGAGTTTGCTTTTTCTAGCAAGTTATCATAACAAAATTACTTTGGCACTTGTATTCAGCTATTTAAGTTAGGGTCAAAAGGGCGGGAGACAGTGAAAATCCCGTACCAGCCAAAGTCCCGTATTAGATCCCGTATTGGAATTTGGATTCCGTATAAGCCAAAATCCCGTACCAGGTTCAGTGAGAAATATTTGCAATTGAATTTGATGAAAATCCAACTACAACGTAAATGAAAGGTATCGTGCTGTGGCAGATAATGTCTAGATAGATACGCAACAGAAGTCTTGAAAAAAAATTATGGAATAAATAGGTTATTGAAGATATGATCGTGATGAAATATGAATTCCATCGGAAAATATAATGAGTTAATGAAAACACAGAATAAAAATCCTGTTAATGAAAACACAGAATATAAATCCTGTGCTTAGGGCTGATGAGAAAAGTCAGTCCACCCCAGTGGGGATCGAAATTATAAAGAGGTGTATGGTTTTCTCCTTATGTGTAAACACACAAGTATTCACACAATCAGGTATCAGGTAGCATCTACAGATTATATGAATATAGCTGAATACCCAACAATGGCAACACAGCTCCGTTTGTAACGAATTCAAATTCAAAAATGACCACTCGCTCATTGATCCGCAAGGAACTCTTTCTATCAGCACCTTTTGCATTATGGTGATATTTTAGCATAGCGGCCAACTTGTGAATATGAAATTAATGGGAATCAATTTTACTGAATCTAAAGCAATTAACTTGTATGATATATACTTACAAACGTACTAATGTTTACTCTCTCTCTTTCAAGATATGCAAGTTATATGTGTTTTTCATAATCATTCAATTTACCTTCTCCAGGTGACGCTGTCAGGTGTTATACTTGCTCAAGCCTTACAACATCTGGATGCGCTGAGACATTTACTTTGACGTCAAATGACACCGGAAGTATCACAGACTGCGTCACTGGAACACAGTGTCAGCGTGTTGTGACAACAATTGGGATTGGTAAGAAACAGGTTTTGTTATTCAAAGGCCACAAAAAAGGTTATAACAATTTTGCTCATAATGTAGTCTTAACTTATGTTATCAAAATGTGAGATGTGAAACTTTTTTTTAATTTCAAGTCGTTGTTTTTTCGATATTTTTGTTTGAAATTGTGACCGTCATTCAGAATAAAATTTGGGTTGCCATGATTGACACCTATGCAAAGCAAACATCCAAAAATTGTCCATTTTTGACCAAAATAAGAAGATGGGTCGAAAATAACTGAGATTATTAACTCACAAGCGCAGAAAGCGCAAAATAATAGATTAATTAGAGAAAAGATTAATGAATTTTGAAAATAAATAATACACTCTAAGCGAGATCACAGCGTAACCTGATTTAATCAGGAAATTAAATATTTTAACTGTGGGGAAAGAAGCAGAAAGAAACACTATATGAATAAATATTTCAATAGTAAATCATATTTAGATGAAACACATAAATATTAATTTATGTATAAGGAGAAAAAGGAGAAGCATACCTTGTACAGTCCCGGCTAATATACACGTGAACTAAACAAGTTGATATTTAGCATCTACAAAGAAGGTCTATTTCTAGATAGTCAATTTTAATAATGAAATTTACCTGGCAACATCTACGTCTGACATCAATAAAAATACGTCCCTTTTAATAGTTTATCCACATCGTGACGCGTGTTCAATATTTATACCCTTTCCCTACTTTAATTAGCACATTTAAATCTGCATACTTTTTTGTTAGAAATAAAACTTGGGACAATATTGCGCTTTATTATGCACCTCATTAAAATACTCAAATCTGATTGTTTAAGAGCTGCAGGGTCTATTGTCAAACGTGGCAGCAAGATCTCGTTCTATCCAGTATTGGAAAAAAATACTAGACTCGGCTTCTGTTTTAGTAGACCCATTCTTTAAAATAAAGTAAAGGGAGGTTCATAATAAAAAATACTTTTATTATTATTTTTTCCTCGGATAGATATTCTGGCATATCCATTATCCACCTCATGGTCATCCAGTATAATAATTGTTTATTATACAGTTTGTTATCTGTGCATAGACCATGTAACAAATGTATCTGTTATGTGTATGACTCAATGAAAAATATATCTATATTCTTATAAAATATTCAATGTACATTTATCTTTCAGCATCAGTCACACATTCGTGCGCTCTTATTGATGGGAATGTTGGTTGCAGCGAGGTATTAGGAATCACAACGTGTAAATGCACCGGAGACCTTTGCAACGATGGTAACATCGCAAACGCCGGAGGAAGTGCAGCAGCCGCTATTGTCCCGTCATTCTTCACTATCTTGCTCGCCATTGCTGCCTTTTATTGGTCATAAACGCCATCGTATCCCGGACATCGTATCTCGAATTTAGAACATTTTATTTTCAATAGTCAAATCAATAGACATTTGTATATTGTTAGCATTTTTGTAATGTCCATAATACTATTATAATTCATAACTACTATGTTAAGTGATTAAAGGGGCAACAAGGACTGTAGAGAGGAAATTCGATTTTTTTTATTTTTTCTGAGCTATCAGGTCAATATTTGACTTAACATTTTCTTTGGCATACCTATTTACTTAAAGTGTATGGATAAACTCTCAATCTCAGCATTAAGAAGTGTAAATTCAGTTCAAAGTTTCTATAAAGGGCCCCCTGCACTAATTGTTGCACCTTTAATATGTTGTATGATGTTAGATTAGGTATTATCCAGACTTTTGTAAATAACCTCTCTATATTTGATCGGAATCTTGTATGTTTTAATTGTTGCTAAGTATCGTATCAAAATAAAATGACAGATTTGTGAAATGGAAAACACGTATTACGTTATGTATTAGTTGAATTTAGCTACATGTTTTGAAGTGAACGTACACGTGTACGTGTAATATTATTAGTCCCTTAGATTTATGTTCTCATCTTAATTATTTTCGGGGGCCGAATTACAACTATTTTCCGTATACATTTATACTCAATTGGGCAAGTAAATACCATAGGTTCTGGGCCGATATAAAGATGGCAGCACCAGAAAGAATCCAGTATTATTTACTAGAAACATAGATAAACACAGATCGATTACCATGCCATCTTTATTTAAAAGTATTTCTATCGCCCTTAGCCTATGGTAAATACTATTATAGGATTGATCCTAAGGATACCATAACTCCACACGTCCACGTACACGTTTCTTGAATGAGTATATCTTTGCTGAAATGAGATATTTTTCTATAAATTGAATTTTGAAGGAATAAAAATGTCTTTAACATTGACCTCCTTGAAGTGTAAGTACGTAGACTTGTGGTATGTGAACTATTACGTGACCAATGAATTAATGAAAAGCATAATGATAATGATGACCAAAAGCACGCGGGTAAAGTCTACCCGGCTACATGCAGAGTAAGATCCGCTAATACCGCCTATCAAATGTTGATAAGTTACACGACCAAGGAAAATGGATAGCAGAGGTAATATTAGGCTATTATCAGTTCTCTTAGATGCTTAGAATCGTTACTAGAATGTTCTAGCAGGCGAAATTGACTTAGAATTATGGTTAAAATATATCTTTATGTCCCAATTAAGAGAATAGTAGAACGTATAATAGTTTTTAATTTGTTTTTTTTTCATACTCGCTTTTTGATACAGGGCCATATATCACAAATACATGGGTCGGTAAACGAATGGTATATGCACAATATATTTATTGTCAAATTATTGGGTGAAAATAGCAATTATGAACAGCAAAATCTTCACTTAAACGTTGTCCCAAAAAGATCCGATGTTATCAGACCTCGGACCCGATGTGATCGATGAGTAATATTATCAAAGATCCGATAATATATTGAGTAAAGGACCTCAGGATCCTAACATTCCTTGCAGTGATGATATCGTCGAGTTAATGAACGTGCTGATGATGAAATAATAAATATTCACTCTGCACTCATGTAAGTATTTTGTTGTGAGCAATAAATGAAAGTGAAAAATTAACACCATCACAAGTCACCACTGTACACCAAAACATTGTATTTTAGGTCCTCCGTACACATGCTTCCACTGCAAAACACGCGAGATGAATGACTTTGTGGTTCACTTCAGTCAGCATCATCCATTACTGGGTATTAAACTTAATGTGCCTGATTTGGCGAAAAATAGATTTACAATTTGGACTGTTGCATTGTCTTATCAAAGTACGATACTGCTAATTTTCGCTACGATGATATTACTAATTGCTCATTTCTCATTACTTTAGCTAGAAATGGAAAACTCCCGACATTTTCAAAGCAGACAGGCAGCGGTCATATATTGAAAAAATGAGTGGTATCGATATGGAGAACTGAATTCAACAATGTTTTTCTCTTAAACCAATCATTGAAAACATTCGGTAAAAAACACGGTATTTTATGTATTGTTGACTTATTGACAATTTAATGCGAAAGTTATTCAGAAATATTTTATAAAAATAGAACTGTAGGGTAAAATGACAGTGATTCTGTAATGGGAATCTATACACGTGATCAACGATGGTAAGATATGTGCATTGGTTTCGGATGTAGAATTTGAAATAGATGACAATCTTGAAAGAATTTTTATCTTATTCTCAATAATGTTACTCTTAACCCAGGCTACTCTGCATTAGTCGTTGACGAATAGTGCGGGAATTATATTATACAGGGTGACCGGAAAAAAAGGAGACCATTGAAGTAATCAATTTCTCCTAAACTAGACAAGTGCCATCAATGAAATTTTGCATACACTGGAACAGTTATATGGAAATTTGTTACTGAAGGTTTCAATACAAGCATTCAACTGGTTCAGGAGCTATGATCATTTACATAACATGCTCCAAATAGGCAAAATTGAGACCAACGCAGAGTTGGATTCATATGGCAAACTACCCTTACATGTTCTGCCCTCTATGGCATTATTATGGCATTACATATAGCAGTGATTGCCTTCTTTAGGTCAACAATAGTCTGAGGATTGTTTTGGTATAGATTGTCTTTCAAATATCCATACAAAAAGAAATCAGCAGGATTCAAGTCTAGGCTGTAATGGCAATGAAGGGTTATCTGACATGTGGTTCATCATCCTGTTGCCAAAGTGCTGATTTACCAAATCTTAAGAGTCACTTTAGGTATTGGGCATAGTGCCATGTTACTAAAACCACTATATGGCACAATTAAATCCCATATGAAAACCAAGGGCTGCCCAAAACCTCCTTAGGATGATACTGTAACTGAGTGGGACCACTGAGTCAGAAGCCATAGGTCAGATAAGCTTCGTCTCCATACACCTCAAATTTGAATCCACCTGATTTCTTTTTGTGGGGCAATTTGAAAGACAATGTGTACCAAAACAATCCTGAGACAATTGCTGACCTAAAGGTGGCAATAAATGCTAAATGTAATGCCATAACAAGGTCGGAATATGTAAGGGTATTTGCCAAATGTATCCAGCTCTGCGTTGGTCTCAATTGCGCCTATTTGGAGCATGTTATGTAAATGATCATAGCTCCTGAACCAGTTTACTGCTTGTATTGACACTTTCAGGAACAAATTTCCATAGAACTGTCCTGATGTATGCAAAATTTCATTGATGTCACTAGTCTATTTTAGGAGATATTGCCTATTTCAATGGTCTCCTTTTTTTCCGGTCACCCTGTATTACATTATGACTTCAGGAGTATATGATGAATTAAGAGGAATATGTACTTCATGTTATTATATGGTCATACGAAATGGGCCATTTTCTTTATATATACGTAATCTTACAGTTGATATTTTGACTCTGTCTCAATTTCCATCCAAACCAATCACATGACGTTCTTTCAACAATTTCAAGGAAACTCGCAATTGAAATCTTGAAGTGAACAAAATGGCGCCTGTTTGAATTCGGATTTCGTAATCACGACATCTTCATATATGTCAGAATATCGAGATGGAAGCCTAGGATCTAATCCTCTTTGAACTTCAAATAAGGATACTTATTCCATTTCACTAGTGACATCTTTATTTCAATGTGATGCGTTTCTTAAAACGAAAACATAAACTACTTTGCAGATTGGAAATGTGGAACCCAACTGGCAATCTCCTTGTTAAACTGATAACACGGTGAATAATGTTATCACACCGGACTTTCATCCGGGGCAATACCAGCTGCAGTTCGCAGCGTCCTTCCATCGGCCTTGAATATGCTATTCTCATACTTACAAAACTTAATTTGGCTGTTATTCACCATTTATTAAGCAGTAAAAATTAATTTGCTCCATTGGTGACAAATCATTTAAATTATTAGTTTCCTGGTGAATGTCAAATAAGTAGCTTAGCGCCAGCATTTATCGGGAAATCCATTTGTTCGTGATAAAAAAAATTCGCAAAAGATAATGCCAGGTACATTGTTTTAACTTTCTGTACAATGATTGTTTCGTGAGCTTCAACCATGAGCTTTGACTCGTTGAAAATCCTTTATTAAGTATCTTGCTCAATTTAAAGGCAGAATCAGATCTATAGGAGTGACAAAATTACAAGCAATATGTACAATTGATCTAACAATCTATTCCTTACAATCTCAAATACAATATTTCCAAAAAGATTCACGATATGTCATAAATTGGTAAAGTTATTATGGATTCAAAGTGCAAAATTGGGTAATGATGTTTAAATTCTTCCAAATAATAAGAATTGTAACGGTACTTACCATTATTATAGAAAAATAAAATGAGCCAGAAATATTCTAAAATTGATACAATATTTTGTTGGCCTGGTCGCTAGATCTCATTTCCTCTTTAAATGGAGGAATAGACAACATAGGCGTAGCCAGGGGGGAGGGGTGCCATGAGTGCGATCGCACCCCCCCCCCTCATTACCAATAAAATAATAAAACCCCGAGATAGAAGAAGAAAAGAGCTTTAAAATGCTTTTATTTGAAACTTCTAGCTCAATGTTTGTAAAATGCATCAATTTTGGTAAAATTCAAGAAAAATCTTAATTTTTGGCTTGTTTATGCCACAATTGCACCCCCCCCCCCCTGACTGAAAACTGAAATTCTTTGGCGATCGCATCAACCCCCTTGACTGAAAGCTGGCTACGCCCCTGGACAACTTACATCATTTCTAGATTGGCATGTTAAAGTTTTGTGTTATGTTTAAATTTTGTTTCTAATTGCATGTTAAGGTCGAAAATTCATGACAAGAACTGTTTTAATCATCAAATGTCAGGGGGGGGGAGATTTCCCAAAGATGCCCTATCATATTAGCACGTTCGAAAACAAATTTTATAAACAGGCCTCAATTTGCCATTGAAATGGATCTCCAAATGTTCACTGTAGTTTTGTGAGTATTCTCTACAAGTATGGATCGAGTAACTTCAATAGTATTACCGTAGGTTTGAAATAATGATGTTGAACTGATGTAAACGCCATTCCCAGGATTTCAAATTTAACTTTGCGCATGCGCAGCACTGGGAGAGCACGTGTTCATGATTGTTCACGTGATCGAATCCTGCAATTTGATTGGAGATGATGCAAGAGATGATGTAATGGGGAATCCCCGAATACGATAGAATATGAAAGAATTATGGGAGCTACTCACTCCTCCTGATCAAGGAGGATTGGCTCCCAGAGTGCACCACCGATATTCTGTCCCATATATGGGTATGTCGTAATACAAAATTCGAATTCAAACAGCCGCCATTTTGTTCACTTCAACATTTATAATGTATAAAAGGCTCTTATCACGTGGTCAAATATGGCACTTCCGGTTTACAGTCTTTTGAAGCAAAGTGTAGGCAAACTCAAAAATGAAAAGAATTGAGAACAAGAATGACGTGTATATGTGCATAAAGACACTCCTTATACACCAGAACCGCCTCTCTGATGAAAATAACAAACATCCATGTGTCATTTAACGTTATCGAAGTCTGGTTGACCATTAACGTACTTCAGTTACCGCTATCAAGATATCAACATACAGACAAGTAGAGAATAACACTGTCCTTCTATAGTTTCCAAAGTCAAATGGTACTCTTATTTTCTCAGAACATTGATAAAATAATTCAAAGATCCTGAGTTTACTGGAATCGAACGCTAATATCATAAAGTCGGATTACCCCATCTTCCTTCTACTCAAGTGACGTATTTTTCAAATTAACCCGAAAGTTGCCGAAAGTTATTGTACGGGTTGCAGATTGTGGTACCAGCGTACGGGTCCATAGGTTAATTATTGCAGAGCAAAGCAGGTTATGATTATTACTGGTAATGGTAAGCATATTAATGAATCATAATTATTTTATCCTAATTTATAAAAGCTTTTTAACATTCATATCGTCGGAACTAGTAGAGTAATATATGTATGAATAAGGAATAATTTATAATTGTGTATCTTATTTAATTGAAAACATTCACGTAAGTTGATATTTATTTATTTGCATTGTTATAAATACAAATATACCTGTGTCAATATTTTGTATATTATCGTATACGTTAGGTTATAAATGAAACCAAAATATGGCAAGTCAATGTCATATCTTTTGACTGAAAGTAACGTAGAAATAAACATTTATCAACGATGAAAAAAACATTCCTTATGCTGGTAAAATGCTTCATGTTTTTCTTTCAGAATGACAGAAAATATGAGTGGTTATCCTAATCAACCGGGTTATTCAGGCCAGCCTGGATACCCCCCTCAACAAGGTTATGGTTACCCACCTCCGGGCCAACCAGGACAACCCGGATATCCCGGAGGTCCCCCACCAAACTATGCGCCACAATCCGGCATGCAGGAGCCCTATCCGCAAGCCATACATAATACAACGGTATACCAACAAGGTGTTCCACAACAAGGCCCAACCACGGTGTAAGTTGATTTTTACTTAAGGGAGATCTAACAGGAGATTTTTGGGGCTTTTCTAGAAATCAATCCTTGAAATTCCATGAGTTTATTCATTTTTATTTTATCTCAAACCCTAATACATTCCAAATTTTTAAAATGTCACTTTCTCAAATGATAATAGGATGACAAACATTTAATTTTTTGATTCAAATTAATTAAAGATCATGAAATCCGTTTTAGAAAGTAAAAGATTCAAATATGTCATCATAGATTCGGAAATAATTTGACAGATATTGTCAAGATACAAAGATGTGCCGACATGTTTTTTCGATTCCTAATCTTTTATCAATTTTGGATCTCGTTTTCAAAAATATGCCTCGTTTTAGAAATGGACTTTGCAATGATTTGCAAAATGTCGGACTATTTCTCAAAACCAATTCAAACTCCCTCGCCATCCACGCCTTATCAGTTTTAGATTCCTCCCGTTATGATGGAAATTAAATTTGCTTATGTCCTTACATCAATCCATTTCTAAGAGTCGTGTTTTAGAAATGTAGATAAAAGAATCACAGAGGGCATAATATTAACTCTTATCTAGCAAATACCACTTTGAAAGTGATATCCTTGAGTTTGTAACACACACCCATGGTCTGATGATATTATCGAATTACGTTGCGCAAAAACATGGCAATTCATGCACATGCTATATCTTCCGGCCCTTTGCGATCGTTCTTTAGTTTTTAATCACGTTGATATGAGTAATTATGTTTTAAACGTAAGAATATAATGATAAATTGCAAATTCGACCATTTTGGTATCTCTCCCCATTTATTTAGGTCCAAAGTTCAATATCTATAGATAAGGTTTCATGAACTAATATAACGGTATGTCGCATTGAATGAGTAAACGTGGTTTAATCATGTAATACTGCCTAATAATACCTTCCGATTTGATACTCTTCTGCCATTTTGTTGTTCATGGCATCTCTCTCACTAAAGGCGTGGCCTCCCGCAGTGCACTTCCGCCTCTTATTTATAAATCGCAATTGGAAAACCTGAAAATCTGTGAAATAACACATAATATATAATTTCAAAACATGGTCCGTATAACCAGGAACCTCCTGTAAGTTCAGGGAATAACAAATGTAAGTATCTGAGAGAATTAATATGATATATTATCATGTTATTTTAAAACAATAAGATTTTTATGTTTATGTCTCTTTATTTTTCCTAAAACTTTGCACGAAACAAAGGAATAAGCTAGAGGCAATTAAATTTTCTAAATAGCTGAAAAATGAATGATAACGAGTGCTGCCATCTTTTATTCCAATTTTTTCTTGGGCTAAACTTCCATTGACTTCCTTATTAAGATCTTTGAAGAGTGTCTTTATTTCATGATCAAAAACTGCTGGTTGGATCTGTAAAAATCATGATTGATATATCGTGTGATGACCCTTTCAACATACTTAGTACTATGTGATTTATCATCAAAATTCTAGAATTTAAACGTTGCATCAATGGAGAAATTTATTAAAAAGTTATGTCAAATCTCTTAAAATCTCACGAAAAACAAGATTTAGTGAGATTTCAAAAGCTATATGGAAACTGTACCACGGTGTGTACTATTGTGGTCATCTTTGAACTCGGCTTATCTCTCAATCTGAATCACAAGCAATATTTTCCAATCTTCAATTTGTTAGTCATCAACTAATTTTTACCAGTTAACGGATGTATACGATGTCATTCTAAACAGAAGCGTTTTCAATTTTAAACACAGGTTCAACACAATTTGAATCTTTCGACCTTCACTTATGTTCAAACATTTGAAACACATTCGGCAAGTTTTAACTTAGATTAGATTAATTCTCTATATCGACTTGAATAAAATGCATTTACAATTTTACATACTAGATCTTTGGCAATATTGCGGGCTTTCGTAACTAATAATATCAGATATCGATATTTTCGAATGTGTTGGCCTTTGGTGTGTCGAATTTTAACATTATAACTTGTAAGTGGGACATTATCTTGTATTCGACTTATCTTAGCGCCAAACAATAAGTAAACACATTATTTTCTCACGTGAATATCATTATTGTTTAGCTAAAAGTTGAAATAGAAATACACAAATACTTTACTTAGGTAATTATCAGGAATACGTGTTAACACGTGAACTAAAGCACTTGAGAAAAACTAACACACTTGAGAAAAAATATAAATGTTATCTATACTAATTTCAAATATATTTTCATAGAGCTAAAATTCACAGGGCTAATATTCAAACGATGTGGATTGCGGTCACGGCTTTGCGAACGGATATTGACCCTTTGAAATACATATACACTTCGAGACTGGATTTCGTCTATCCCACATCATTTGAGACGGAATATTCCTTTATGAGTACTATATCTAGTATCTAACAATTTTTGCTATGAGTATTGCTAGCTATAATTTTTGTCAACATTTAATGACTTTAGTCTGAATGAAATGTTGCTTGGTGATCTTGTACTGGATTGTGATATTGGTTTTCGATTTGAGGGGGAGGGTGGGTGTTAAACATTATTTTTTCACTTTAGATCAAGGTTCGGGGATACTTATAGAGCCTATTTTTCTTATGACAGGTTTACACTTAGAGTTTGATCTGCTTGCTAAGTTTTTGGTCCTTTCCCTCAGGCATTTGTGCTTCGATATTCATAAAATAAAATATTACACATTGTACTTGGAACTGGGACATGAGATAGATGTGCTGTCCATCTTCTTGTCTTTTTTTTGGGGGGGAGGGGTGCGATCGCACTATCGCACCCTCTCCTGGTTACGCCTATGACATTTTGTCGAAAATTGGGATAACTTAATAATCAAAATCTTACACGTTGCATCATGTAAATTAACACACGTCACCTCTCTGCTAAAGCAACGATAGCTATTTACAGATTTAAATCATAATCAAAATAATTCACGTACCAACATACGAACTATTGAAATTAGAGTAAGATTGATTTGTCTTAATGTTTTTCAAATCGTCTTACAATGTCATTGGCGTAGCCAAGAGGGGGTGCGATCGCACCCCCCCCCCCCTTCATTACCAATGGGAATATGACCATGATGATAGAGGAAGAAAAGAGCCTTAAAATGCTTTTTATTTGAAGCTTCTAGCTCAATTTTGAAGGAAGTTACATACATTTTTGTATATTCAAAACAAATCTTACTCGTCTTCTATTATGTTGTATATTCGTATATTTAGTTTTTCGGGTACCCGTTTTTTTCGACCGGGTACCAAGTTTGAACCCAGCATGGAGGATTTACTACCCGATACTCGGTTTTTTCTACAAACCCTATCTAGAAAAGTAACCTCATTCCCTATAATTTGATGTAGATTAATCGAACCCCTATATCACGCCTACAGTAATGAATAGGTACATTTTAATATAAAACATTATGGGGGTAAGCGTTTCATAGTTGGTCACGACGCCAGAAGTGCAAAGTATTGTTCCGAATTTTTGAATTTCGTGTTAGATTACGGTACTCACATCTGAAGCATAGTTTTTGTTTTTGATAAATTACAATAAAGTTTAATAATATTCCTATGCGTATTTTGTGAAATTGTGTTGACGTTTATTTAAGTTACAATGCAACGGTGCATTATATTTGATAAATCAGTATCTGGAAGTTTGATTTAAGTACTTTTACACGCTTTTACCTCAAATCCCTTGAGTGTCCCGGGACATCCTGCAAATTTAGGTGGATGTCCCGCGAAATCCCGCAAATTTAGGGCACTTTGTCTAAAAAATCTGTCCCTCTATGAAGTTTTTGGTGGTAAACCTGTTAACTGTCCCGCAACTAGGGTGTTTGTCCCTCGAATGGTCCCGCGAAATCCCGCGAATTTGATAAAAAAAATTGGCCTATTAGCGCAATCACGCAAATCCCTTAAATGTCCCGCGAAATCCCGCGAATTTAGTAGATGTCCCGCAAAATCCTGCGAATTTTGGGCACTGGGTCTAAAAAATCTGTCCCGCGAGAAAATCTTTAGGGGTTGACAGTACTGGATGATATCGTATGAACCATTGGTGCGATTAACCTCATATTGCTTATCTTGTCTCTATACATGTACATTCGAACAAATATCTCGATCACTTCTTCTTTGGTGTTTTGGAATTTTTTGTTTGGAAATAAATGAGACCAAAAATCACGATTCAAATTTTGAAGTGAAACTGAAAAAGATGACGGCTATTTGAATTCGAATTTTGTAATCACGACATCTCCATATATGGCAGAATATCGAGTTGGACGCCTGAATTCACATCGGGTTGGAAGCCTGAAATCCAAACATCCTTGAATAGCACTTACACTGAATAATTCAATCCTAGCCTTGTCCAAAGGTATACGAAATCGAGGCAATGCGAATTTCTATTGTCCATATACACTTTTAGTAAATATATAATTTCAGGATTATACAGGAAGATCCTAACGTTGCAAGACAACAGGCCCAGGCACAAGCAGATTCAGACTGTTGTTGTTGGACATGCTTGTGGACTTACATTTGCTGTTGTCTTATGTCGGATTGATGCGCGATGGGACCTTGCGCATTAATACACCGAACTATTTACACTGACAACTATATATTGCTTGAACTGATAATAACGGTTGTGAAAAGCATCCATCTGCTTTACGTCTATACTTGTAAATAGTCAATTTTAATTGATACGTAGATGTTGAAGGCCTGAAGGCTATCACGGTGCATTGGACATGAATGTAGCATATTTTGTCCCAGCAAAATCATGGCTTGCAGATGGCGCCACGTGCACCAGGATGTCAAGTAGCAGCTTTAACTAACTATGAAGTATTTAAAACAGTATTTGTGACATTGATGATGGACTTATAGATAATTATTAAATATTGTGTGAGCCGATAAATTATGGGACATTTCGTCTGCTTTCAGGGTCTATCAAGAGGACCCGGAGGCTGCCGCAATGCGCCAAAGAAACGCCGAAGCAGACGATTGTTGTTGTATGACCATGTGCTGGACATACATATGCTGTTGTCTAATGAGTGATTAAAACTTGATGACTTGTACCAACCTTCATACGCTCTACAAATACAATTAATTTATTATCTCCTCATACATATAGTGTACATAGCATCGATAAAGTTCTGTAGGGATTGTTTGGTTTTAAAAGCCCTTCACTTGGCGAGTTATACAAGAAGAGAATGGGAAATAATGAATTCTGGGCTCGCATTGAATAATATGATCACGACTACAGCACGTAAACAAACGAAAAAGAGACATTGGCCCCAGAGACTGAAAACGGCACGATATTGCCCATCGACGTCATTATTCATGAAAGAAATAATGGCCCTTCCAGTATAATGGATCCTCTTCTGCATGACCTTTACTGACCTTGACTCAGTATAAAACTAACGTCACTACATAAATCGATGGCCGGAGAAGAAGACCATAATATGATATGAGCAAATAGATGTTTGTGTATAGTGTGTAGCAGCCAAAGTACAGAAATATGTAACCTACATCCAAAATACTGTTATGATACCGTATCTATCAGAAAAGCTATATTGTACATGAAACTATATGCCTTTAAGTTATGATGAAAATATTTCAATGATTGATTTGCAGTTAAGCAAGTTGTTGGAAAACTAAAACTAAATTAAATTTAAGCAGGACGAACCTGGGTTGAAGGACATTTTCTTTATCCCATGGAAAACGTGTTTGTTGTTTTAAACATTCCCATAAACCATATTAATGTAAATGACAGGGTAGACTGATATGATATGTAAGCTTACAACATTATGCAAATGGGGCTATATTGCACAAACGTATTCGTATAAAAATTACATTAGCTCCGACCATGTAAGAGAAAACAACTCTCATTATGGAAATGAACTATTTGTTTTGTCAGTAGTGAATTAAATGTATTTGCCATGATCATTTTAAGTGATTATAGCATAATTACCTTGAGCTATAGCCCCATTGTAATAATTTTTGTTAAATTATTCAATAAAGTTTATGAAACTTGAATATTGATGTCGAATTTTTCTACATAGAGTTTGTACTTTACGATTATATAGGGGATGATGTCATATCAAATAAAGGCTGTATACCTGATTTACAAATCTTTTAAAGAAGGACATCTCAATCAATATAATCAAAAGCTTTTTTAAAGTCAACTACACATGCAATATAATATAATATTTTTGACGCATGAAATAAACCTTATATTCTTTGATACTGCTGTCACAAAAAGAAATATAAATACATCCCTCCTCTCAAAAATGTGGAAACGGTAAGTCATTTTTGGACAGCGTGTTCAAGCTCATTTGCACCACCAAAAATGTTATGATAAATGAGTAAAAAATGAGGGAAACCCTATTTTTAAACTTTTCCTCAAAGAACTATAAATTCGAAGTTTTTATTTTGGTTTTACATAAGCTAGCAACTCAGTAATATATCAGTGTTTGACCCAGATTTAGTGAAAGAAAACACACTGAATTTATTATATCATTTAGGGTGCAGGACCAACGGTCTTTCAGAATCTACCTAAAAAACTACCTTTTTTCAAAAATCTACCGCAAAACAACCACTTTTTAAAACCTACTGCAAAAACTACCTTTCCTTAAATAGAGCATAATAACTACCGCTTTTTCTAAAGGTTATCGCAAAAACTACTGTTAAAAAAGGTACTGGAGATAATTCGCCTTCTTCAAAAATTTCAAATCTACAGTAAAAACTCGCTTTTTAATAATTTACTGCAAAAACTACACTTTTTCAAAAATTTACACTAAAAACTAGCGTCTTTCTCAAAAATCTAGCACAAAAACAACAGGATTTTGGATATATATCACGCAAAAGTACCGTATTTTTTAAATCTCCGACAAATTTTTCATTCATTTTAGGTTGGCAAGTCTCCTAGTGCAATATTTAACCCATTCTGATACTCATAGCATCTTTCTGTTTCACCTGAAAGCGCTCAGGGCTGAGAAGAATTGAGATGTCATGGTTTATCATGAAGTATTTAACCTGAATCAGAAATCTTGCTCAAGTAATTATCGGTTGAACTCCTTTAACACTGATAAAATCAAAGACAATGTCATGGTCTTGCAAACTGGATCACTAGAGAAATAACTTCACTTATGTAAAAAGAGACATGATGTTTTTAGGATATATTTACATGAAAAAGAAATAAGATTTTATGAAACATTGGATTTTTGAAACTGTACAATGACATAAGAAAAATAAGTTTACAGCATAATCACTGTGATAATGGGAAGAATATTCCATATTCAACCGAGTTTAGAGCATTCAGATGCAAAGTCCATGCTAAGCTTTTGTTAATCCATCGGAAGACATTGCATAATAAATCCATGCAATGGGATATTAAATCGTTTGAAAAATCTAAGAATTTCCCTTATGTGAAAAATGTAATGTGTTATTGCATTAACACTCATGGAATACAATGTACCTGAGACAAAAATGAGAAAAATCAGTGCCACATGAGCACAAGTCAAAGCTGTTCTTTTCAAGTGTCCCTCCAAACCATTTAGTCAAAACTATGTCATATATATCAGGTTGGTCAAACATCTAATCGTTGATGCTAAAAAATAGTGATTCAGGATCAGGACTCCATGACAATATCAATAGCCCAGTACTTGGACAGTGATGTTCCCCATGTATCTAAATGCTCAAAATTAGATATTGACAGTAACAATGAAATGAAATGTCGTACAACAATGGATAATAACATTGAAAAAGAAAATGAAATTGAAAATAAAATTGAAAATGAAACCACCAATGAAATCACCAATGAAATGAATGATATAATAAATTTGAAATCTTGTCACAGCAATGGAGCACACAGTTCCACAGATGGCAATGTAACGATACAGATGCTAGATGAAAATATTGAAGATCTAATAAATGAGTTCACCAGTGTGTTACCTGATGTCATTCAACGACTTGCCGACGATGGATCTATACGCATAATACTTAATTTTTTCAATCTGGTAAAGAATAACTCATTTCCATTGCACAACATTGCATATAGGTGTTTTCTTGACGTCGTGGACTGGATGGGATGCGATATGAATAGTCCAATTCCGATACAAGGACCCTACCACTGTACGATTCTGGCGAATTGGGTATCGCTTATTCAAAGGAAAATTTCTTCATACAATTTTGTAATGCATACCTAATGCATACCTGACCTTATTTTTATAATAACTGTTAGTCATAACTATTTGAGTAACAATTTTAATCATATTTTGGAATAATTATTATAGGTAATTATATGATTATTAAAGGTAATTACATTAATATTATAGGTAATTATCAACACAAAAGTGCAAATATCAACACTGTACTGTAGTTATTTGTTTTCTTAATTGTATAGTTCTTTACACAGATATAGATGATAGAATAAAGTTTATTTTTGAAAACTTTATTAATACTATTGTTATTTTTTAAAAAAGTGGAACTTTAACAAATACATTATATTATTCCTTTGCATTCATTCGACTAAACTGCTTAAAAGAGGGCTTCATCAAAATTAATGAGATTGAATCAAAAATCTTAACAATCACTGTGACTGCTTCTCAGGCTAAACAAAAGATACAGTAAGGCAAATGATTTGTTCTATAGTAAATGTCCAAGACGATTTACTAAAATAGTGGACATAAACATAATTCCCATTCTTGGCAATGGCAGTGTAAATAAAGGGGTTGTTTTGACATCCAGATCTTTGGACTTTGCGTTGACAACGGGCATCGTACGTCTAACAAGCTGCATGTATCTTAGACTCTTATTTCATCCAAAGGCCACTTCCACATGACTTGATGTAATATAAAGAGATTTTCGACGCTTTATAACGGCGATTGTCATAGGACATGACTGGAAAACGTTAAATTAATTAAACTAAATCAGGTATAGAAAGCCGCGTTTTATCACAAATCACCATCGCAAATCTATAACCGCTTATTTTCCTCAAATGTTCGTCGTCGGGAGTAAAACAATAGGCATCACATCAAATTGAAATAACTGTCGATGCTGTAAATGCACATATGAAAAGAAATATACAATCTCGGTGTGCATGAACGTTTATATGCATCATTGATCATCAATGAAAGATATTTTGACAATATAAAATCGTAATTTTTAGCGGGAGATATAATTCTCAACTTTAATTTACACTCCAGCCACTAATGCGCGTTCCATTCAATTTAAAACACACGAACTGAGTAGTTTAAGATGTACCACTTGAACATAATACAAAACTGTATATGATTCTCCTCTTTGTCCACAAGAATTTAACCTTACAAAAATTGGGGTACAAAAATTATTAATTTTTAGGAAGATCGTTTTTTCCTAAATCAGAGCCACTTGTTTTGACCTTATCACTTCGTCCAGGGTGTACATGTAAGTAATTAAGTATACGGCTCCCCCTACCAGGACTGCAGACCAAATCATTTGAACAATTGTTTTTACGAATATTAAAAGAGGATCAAAGATTTCGGACAAGTTCTGATAACGGATTCTGATAGTGGGCTGCATATGAGAATTGGTCGAGATCGGAAGATGACGCGTTTTTATTCCATCAATTTCATTTGACCACCCTACATGAATATCTACTTAGTTTTTGGTACAAAAAATTGTCATTTTGAGTTTTACTCCATCAACATTTTAGCTGGGGGCGGCTGTACTATGATTAATGGCTCTTTAATGGCTATATCTCAAAATCTAATTGTTCAATCATCTTTCTTTTTGGCATGAGTATCAAATATCTATACACAGTATGTTTGGATTTTTCTTTCATCATTCAAACAGTTCATAACACGGTAAAAATAAATGACTTGTCTGCTGTTGAAGGTAAACATTGACATTTACATTGTAAAGATATCAGTGTGACAAATTGCGCGTGTCAGATAATTAAACATTTGATATGTATATAATGTTCTTATTTGAAAAATAGATTGATGTTGCATGTTGATAATGTGCCTTTTTGCGCAGATAATCATAAACATAGTATAGGTAGTCTATTTGTTGTATTCAACGGTGAAAATCAATTATGCTACCTTGAATAATTTGTAAAAAGAGGTTTTAATCAAGGTTGAATAGATTGACTCTATTTCTTGGAATATGTCTATCAAACGTTCGAAAATATTTTTAATTTTTCAGATACAAATGCGGCACAATTTACGAAATAAAATACTTTTGATGGAGAATTGCATTTCATACAAGTGACGTTTTTATGTGCTTGTGGAGATTTACTTAGTTGCCAAAGGTATGCTTGGTTCGTTTCCCAACAACCCAGGTAAGATGTGTTACAACGAATGTTCTTGCACATTTCAAAAGTATCATTAACTTCCACTACTGCACCCTACATTCAAACCATTTTGTGTTTTTTTTATATATATTTGTCACATATTCTTGTGGCAACGCGTTGTTATAGCTACTGATTTTTGAGGAATGGTGAAGAATATTGTCTTTTTGGGATTGATCCCATTTTAATTGGTAGTCGTGTAAATAAAAAGAGACCCCTGTGGATTTAGAAATGACGCAGGATTTACAATTACACGTTCAGTGCCTGTAACAAAGCATCTCCAACTAGAACATGGCTGATTATCTTTAGAAAACAATTAAAAAACTCATAAGAAATTGAACGTTTGAACGCATGCCAATGATTACTTCATAGTTATTTGCACTTTGATTCATAAGACACTCCATTTAGTCGATTATGCTAAAGTAGTTAAATGTGCAGTACTTGAATAAAACTCATTATTAACACAATTATAACAGCAATAAATGTCGACGTTCCAAAAACACATCTGTAATAATTCACCTTTCTTATTGTCCATCTTAAATTAGTCGATAAGAACGTTTTAATAATGTTACATCTTTTGTTTTTACTTAATGCTGTATGTCAATATGTCATAAAGATGAATTACACAAATAGGTCTAATCAATTCAATTATTGTAGTTTTCACCTAAGAAGTATGACATACAATCTTCAGATGTGCTTCATCAATGTGTTGATGCATTACTTATTTCATTGAAAACTGCTCAAATTAAAAATAGTCCCACGTTTGAAAAGCCCTTTTCTAAGATGAAGGATTATCGCTACGGTATAAATAAAACAGGTTTACATCTGCCAATGGGACCATTAACACTGTTCAATACGTTAGACTGAGACAGCGAAAGACATGCAGCAAGTTGTCTTAGGATTGGGAATTGTACTTCTAGTGGCGCTAATTGTGACAACGTCGGCCAAGGTAAGACATTGTTGCATATACAAACATCATTTCAGTTCGCATCCGGGGAATTCGAATTGCTCGATTTAATTAAATCAAATTAATACATTGGTAGTTAAAGGGGTAATCGGAGATAGCAAGCACCATTTTCAAAATGCCCCGCCTTCTTTACGGTCGATTTTATCAATATATTCTGCCCATTATTTTTTAAAACAGAAATCGTATACACTATTACAGGGAAATCATAGACTCTAACATTTAATCTTTAAGAATTTTTGTTTTCTAAACGTCACATGCTTTTTGTTTATTGTTTCATTTCATTGTTTAAGCATATCTAAATTTGCACATTTGTCTATTATTGATGATAACTGCCTGATAATTATTATTGCAGTATTTGATTACCATTTTCTTAAGAAACAATCGTTGTTATGACATTGACATTATTTCCAACATGATGTCGGAGATGTGACTTAGAATTGATTGATACAACAATTCAATGGCATTTAAATGTTGCGAAGACTGTGAAATCTGTGTCCTGATCTGACAGTGCAATCGACCTTGAGACAACAAATTGATCAAACACTCAATCAATCAATCAATGAACACAACATTCAACAATGAAACAGAAGTTATAATCTCATAAAAAGCAATATAATGTTTTAAAGCCTAATGATGTAAGAGGTACACGGAAGGAGAAGCACAACCTCAAAAAGAAAGCCGCGACAATAAATAGGCAGAGTCATTCGAGCGAAGATGAAAAGGATGAAGAAGAGAAGGCTTCTAAAAGAGGTTAGTTGACACATTTTTATTGATTTTTTTCAAGGCTAATCTCACACAAAAGATACCTTTATTGTTTTGGATAATGTCAATGGCAATGAACTGCATACCTTACACCCACGTGCCCTCATACACAGGATATAAACTTCACCTTTGAATATATTATACCACCTGTATAATGTACAATACACTCTTTAAATCGCAGTTACTCAGTAGGGATGTCAAACGAAAAAATGAAACTTAGAATTGTCAATGAACCAAACTGAGAACTAAAATAAAAGTAGTTTGCCATTAAAGATAATAGTCTGATGTGCTCATTCTAGCTCAAATGGATTCCACGACTAAACGTGTGTACGTTCACTCATAAAACGGTGTTAGCATATTTCTTAATAGTTAACTATATCAAATTGTCCTTTAAATTACTTGGGCAATAGGTGTTCACCTCTGAACAATAGTCCTTGCTAGATATAATGCATAACTCAACTAAGGTGAAAGTCCGGGGTGAAGGTATTCAGAGGACAGCACCTATTAAATGCATCTGAAAACCATAACATATTCACAACAAATTTCATTCATCAAATCAATCGTTTTAGGGTCATCTTTAGTGGGCAATTAAAGTAATTGGATACAGTGTCTAATCACGATCTAAACTTAAGCTAATTGAGATACATGAGACAAAATAACATATGAATAGATATTACACACGTTTTTATTACATTGGCTAATCATCGTTACACCAATGGTTTATCATCATATCTAAATAGACTTTACATTGACTAATCATCGTGTCGTAATAGACATTACATTGATTACATTGACTTATCATCGTATCTAGATACATATTACATTGACTTATCATCGTATCTAAATAGACATCACACTGGCTAATCATCATAGTAAATATACATTACATTGGCTTATCATCGTATCTAAATAAACATTATATTGGCTTATCATCGTATCTAAATAGACATCACATTGAATTATCATCGTATCGAAATAGACATCACATTGGCTAATTATCATAATGAATACAATTACATTGGCTTATCATCGTATCTAAACAAACATTATATTGGCTTATCATCGTACATTGGCTTATCATCATAGTGAATAGACATTATAGTGGCTTATTGTTATTGTAAATATACATCACATCGGCTTATCGTCATAGTAAATAGACATCACATTGACCAATCGTCGTATCTACTTCTAATGTAAATAGACATTACTTTGGCTTATCATCGTATCCAAATAGAAACCACATCGTGACATTAATGTATCGTCAGGTTAAAATATGATTATATCCCCTTTTATTTAAACCCCTCTCAGATTTCATACTGGTACCTCTGAAGGAAGACCCAAATTGAATTGCCAAAAGTAACACTGCTAACCTAAATCATTAATTGATGTTTATTTATAGAGAGACGCGCTAAAGAGGAAGATGTGATCATTAACAACAATGCAGTATGTATATGTTTATATATTCTTTTTCATTATAATTGTGTATCTAGTTTGATAGTTCTTGTATGACATACTGTACTTGTATATGATAAGCACATGAGAGAATTTACACAATGGAAATAATTAGTTGTGTTGTGGCTCAAGGCTTCATTTTTGTTTTTCACACCCTAGGCGCCCAGGTATTAATCATGACAATTTACTATGGGTCTAATTCAAAACAAACGAAATTCAATAGTTGTAGCAAAATGATTGAATTTCTAAATCATACCATTTGGCGGAATCCTAAACATTGTCAAATCATTGTATAATGGATCCAGACATAGGACATGGCAGGATTGTTTTTGCGACGACCTGTTTGATCTCCTTGATGCTTCTGAAAGTTTACAAAATATGATGACAAATATGACATCGAGCATCAACTCGTTATTTTATGTGTCAAATAATTAAATAAAAATGATTTGAATTTATTTTTAATTTTTTACTAAGTAACTTTTCTTTTTATCTGGTATAATTTGTGATATTACATCATGTTGCAAAATGTGTTCAATAAGCCTGGTTAAAAGCGTCGGGCATCAGTAATTCTTGACACAAACCAGATAACTTATGTCATACAGGGTGACCGGAAAAAAGGAGACCATTGAAATAGGCAATATCTCCTAAAATAGACTAGTGACATCAATGAAATTTTGCATACATCAGGACAGTTCTATGGAAATTTGTTCCTGAAAGTGTCAATACAAGCAGTCAACTGGTTCAGGAGCTATGATCATTTACATAACATGCTCCAAATAGGCGCAATTGAGACCAACGCAGAGCTGGATACATTTGGCAAATACCCTTACATATTCCGACCTTGTTATGGCATTACATTTAGCATTTATTGCCACCTTTAGGTCAGCAATTGTCTCAGGATTGTTTTGGTACACATTGTCTTTCAAATTGCCCCACAAAAAGAAATCAGGTGGATTCAAATTTGAGGTGTATGGAGACGAAGCTTATCTGACCTATGGCTTCTGACTCAGTGGTCCCACTCAGTTACAGTATCATCCTAAGGAGGTTTTGGGCAGCCCTTGGTTTCCATATGGGATTTAATTGTGCCATATAGTGGTTTTAGTAACATGGCACTATGCCCAATACCTAAAGTGACTCTTAAGATTGGGTAAATCAGCACTTTGGCAACAGGATGATGAACCACATGTCAGATAACCCTTCATTGCCATTACAGCCTAGACTTGAATCCTGCTGATTTCTTTTTGTATGGATATTTGAAAGACAATCTATACCAAAACAATCCTCAGACTATTGTTGACCTAAAGAAGGCAATCACTGCTATATGTAATGCCATAATAATGCCATAGAGGGCAGAACATGTAAGGGTAGTTTGCCATATGAATCCAACTCTGCGTTGGTCTCAATTGTGCCTATTTGGAGCATGTTATGTAAATGATCATAGCTCCTGAACCAGTTGAATGCTTGTATTGAAACCTTCAGTAACAAATTTCCATATAACTGTTCCAGTGTATGCAAAATTTCATTGATGGCACTTGTCTAGTTTAGGAGAAATTGATTACTTCAATGGTCTCCTTTTTTCCGGTCACCCTGTATAAGGCAGGATTGGCCATATAAAGCAGGATGAACCATATAAAGCAGGATGAAAAAAGCTAGCTACAGTGCGTTTAATGAGGATGAACAATATACAGCAATAACCAAGGTTAACTGTAGAATAGAGTACCCTCTGGAAAGAAAAAGGTGCATGGTCCTTTATCAATCATAACATTTTCAAAGTTTTGTATAAACTTTCTAAACTCTTGGAAGCACACGGCGTAACTATTTTGAATAACTTGTGGAATTTTCAAAAAATTATATGAAAATTAAAAAAAATTAGCAATGGTTAAAGACATCGTCTCACAAACTCACTAATGTGACATTTTCCTTTAAATTACGTCATAATTGCTATTACTCAGTGAAATACATTTTCGTCTAAGCCTATAACATAATTTTCTATATGTTATATTCTTGATACCATTGTAAAGCCCGTCCAAAACCGGTCATAACTGACAGGTTTGAAATAAACATTGACCCACTGACAGAAAATTATGGAAGTGCCAAAACCCGTCTAAAACATGATTTTTAGACGATTTTACGCCTCAAATAGCAATGAAATTATGGTATAATTATTATGAGGAAGTAGCCATTTTGCTCAATAAACACATTTGTGTATCACATCTGACATGAATCTTGGTATGTTTAAGTAGAAGATGTATAACATTTGTAGGGGTCATTGAGAAAAAAGGGTACAATTATCTTACAATTTCAAGTTTACTGCTATATATGTTACCCCTACCCCTGATTTTGAACTGAAAAGAGACCTCTGAATCTGAAGGATATTACCTCCAATTTTATCGCAATATGGTTGTAATTAATCAGACCTAATAATTCTGTTACTGATATTTTTCACAAAGTTTTATTGGATTGAAAACTTTTTAAGATGATGTATTCCTCTAAACGTAATAAATAGTTTAACTTCATGCCTCAGAAGATCCCCTTCTTGAGCACATTGCTAGGTATAGGATTTCTCATATTTATGACGTCAATTTATGGTAAAAAGTCACACTCACGATTTTGGGAGTTGCTCTATTCAATTCTTTCTAACTTTTCATATAATATTTACGAAATTCTTTGAAATTTTCCTCATTTGGTCAAAAGATACACATATTGTACCTCTGAATGTTTGGTACGATAATAATGAAAAATGAAAAATATATGATTGATAAAGGACATTGCACCTTTCTTTCTTTACAGAGGGTATGAAAATGTAGAAATGTGTTATTAGTACTTTGTGAACACTTTGTAGATCCACTTCTGTAATATCTAGCTTAAACATTGTAGAGTTTTTCAAACCATGATGAGAATGCATAGCTGTTATTGTCCTATGCTTCATTAAAGGCGCACTATACTTAATTTAGAAGAAAAAATCAAAAAAAAATAATTGAAACATGTTACTCACACACTTGCTCAAATATGACACAAAGTTTGATTTGCTTTAATATTGGATGGACCAAGAAGAAAATAACTCACATCGAAAAAAGCATTTGAAGTTCAGAGATCATTAGACATGCATGCACATGTTAAACAAAGTGCATGTTTTAAATTACTATTGATTTGAAAGATGGCGACACTTCTATAAAAATGAATGTATCATGTAATACAAACAACCTTATATATAAAGCTTGACAGATCAAAAATATTTTTTGATAATTTATTGTAAGCTTTGATGTGGTCCATTTGAGCTGTTATTGGTGTCGGTAAGTCTTTATTTTGCCCAAAAAATGTTGGAAATTCCCAAAGTGGTCCTTTAAGTGAATTGAATTTCTTTGAAAAATGTATTTATAAAGATAATGATACGTTTGCACTCGAGTATACTATCTAACATTATATAATTCATATCGAATGTTGACGTCGACAACTTCTCGCGCGATGGTGTTAACATGATTCGTCAATTATCAGAAGATGACTGATGAGGTTAGAATGACTTAATCACGTGGTTACACTAAGTTCAGATATCCAACGAGAGTGAATGAAGAGTAAAGGCGTTAATTGTTAAAAACTTTAATTATTAAAAACCTACACATGTCCATTATAATACTTAATCCCAAATGAAAACGCATGTATACGGTATGGAGGAAAGATTTGTCACGGTTCGTTTATCAAAGTGAAACAATAATCTTAAACATGTTCTTCAGGTTGGATAATCAAATCACATTTTTTGTGATTTGAAACAATATTGCTTTTAAATGTTTTCTGAGTTTGTATAGGGTGGTTCAAAAAATGGGAAAACATGCCATATTATATACCAATGGATAGGGAATTTACTCATCTTTAATTTCGTATATCATAAGTTCAAATTTATTAAAATGTCTGTCAACCAGCGTCCATAATGTAAATGACGTCATTTTTGTTTCAAAACGGGGTTTTCCAAGTCAATATGTCCACCATTTCGATCAATTGTAGCCCTCAAGTTTGGCCTAAACTGATCAACAGCATCATTGATATGCTGTTGAGACAATAAATTTCACTTCTCAATAATTCTGTCCTTCAGGGACTGAATAAATGTAAAGAATTTATGGTTCATTAATTCTGTTAGTTCGACGTTGAGTGATCGGGTGATCTGGGGAGCTAGTGATTAAGGGGGGGGGGGTGAATCTAGGCACATTTTCTTTTAAACATTTGACACTCTTGTGGTATCTATTGCTTAGAGCCCCATCTTGTTGGAAAATGTAATGATTCCAAAATGAGCTCATATCAGAATGGTCCAAAAACAACATAATTGGATCATCCGATATCAACGTCTGCGACAACCACATATTGGGAGAACTAACAGAATTGGTTTATCATGAACCCCTTTCATCTACTCAGTCCCTTACTAAGGATGGAATTGTTGAGAAGTGAAATTCATTGTCTCAACAGCATATCAGTGATGCTATTGACCAGTTTAGGCCAAAATTGAGGGCTACAATTGATCAAAATGGTGGACATATTGAACGTCTGTTTATGTAAATAAAGTTGACAATAAAACTTGGTTTTTGCAAGTTTTGGAAAACCCGTTTTGAAACGAAAATGACGTCATTTATTTATGTTATGGACGCTGGTTGACGGCCATTATAATAAATTTGAACTTATGATACACCAAATTGAAGATGAGTAAATTCCCTATCCATCGGTATATAATATGACATGTTTGTGTCAAGAAAATCAATATTTATTTTTGAAATACAAGTGTCCCATTTTTTGGACCACCCTGTATATTTATTTCCATGTTATTTCAGGAGGGTAGTCGCTTTAGAAATGCATTGACATCAGATTCAGATAGTTGGTACAACCCTGGTGTAATTGGCACACAGACAATCTATTATCGTTTAGGTACTGTGCATTCTTGCTTTTATTTCCTAAGATGATTGGATCCCAGAGTGCAATTCCGATATTCTGCCATATATGGGCATCATTGCCGTTGGCAAAATTTAAAAAAAACAGTCGCCATTTCTCAATCTCTCACACTTCAGAATTGGAATCGCGAGTTTTGGTCTTACTTTTTTACAAACGAAAATTCAAACAGACAAGAAGTGATTAAGATATTAGTTCAAAATGTTTTGATTGCTGATTGTGAATTTATAATCAGATCAATATCAGACAATAATGACGCTAGCCTTGTTGGACAATATGATGTTGCATTTTGGCTGCCAATCATCCAATTAAAATAGAGAAGGAAATAGAAGCGATGTTAGATTAACTGATATAAAACGTTAATTTTGACCATCAATGTCACTGAATGATCTTATGTATTTTATATGATATATGATAGGATTAAAATTAGTCATTTATCGAAAGCATTTTCTACGGACAACTTATATGTTACATTCATCTCAAAGCTTGTATAGAATTCCATAGATGCATTCGATTTCATATTTTTATAAAACATGATGATGGTTATGATTCAAACCTTTTCTTATTATTTTTCCGTAGCGTTCTCAAACGAACCTGTAAAGACAAAACTCGAAACAGCGATGAGAATCCTGGAAGCCTACGCTGCAGATTTCAATAATGTTAACTGTTTTCAATTCGTCAACGATGAATGGGCGTCACAAACCGAATTCTTCACAGTAGTCTATGACTCTGGTGTATCTGGGTAAACTTGAGAAAATTATACTACATACATAAACTACACTCTATAAATGTTTGGCATATTTTCAATTAGACTAGGTTACGTTCGTTAATGCAATTTAAAATAATCATTGATTCATTCACAACAATTTATACTAGTATTTCAGAGAAGACGAAAGTTTGCCTGATTCGATTTGTATCATCCAACGATTTCTTTACGTTGTTTTCCAAATTAGATAACTAACAATGATTATGTATTCAATTTTACCTCTTATGTATGTTTTAGATGCTCCGCAAATGTGGGGAAAACGGGAGGAAGTACACTAAGATTAGGTAAAAACAACATAGATCATCGCTTCCTTAGTCTTGCTTGAACGGAGCCTCTTTACTAGTATACGTACTCAATATTAAAATTAATACAGATCTATTTTGTTTAGGTAGAACTGAATCGTATAATACAAGTAATCCAACTTATCTTTGATGTTAAAAAGTTATTCGACCAGCAGGGATTTGATATAGGGAATATCACAAGAACGATATCAATATTTCCCAAGGGAACGCAGTGAAAAGGGGAAATATTGATATTATCAGAGGGATATTTCTCATATCATCCCGACGGCCCTCGAGCAGATGTATCATATTGGCCTCGGGATAATCCCAATATCCTGAACCTAAAATAGGATTTATTTTATCTCTATTCACAAACTGGCGTATGCAACTATGTTTTGTAGGTGCGTATTGCGCGACTCAAAATGGCATGCTGCTACACGAACTGCTACATGTTTTGGGACTTGGGCACGAACACATTCGTCCCGACAGAGATACTTACATTGACGTAAATTACAACAATATCCAGGCAGGTTTGTAGGTTGTATATATTTGTCTCTGTCGCTAATCGGCGCTATTCAACCATACATTTCATGGTAATATATTTATTTGTGTCCAACTGTCATGTTCACTAAGATATGAATTAGAACTTGTCTAATGTGCACTTGGATTCGTACGTGGCTAGAAAATAATTTGTCCTTGATATTGAGAAGACGTTCTCCGTTATGTACATTTTTCTATAGTTTACTGCAGCCGCATTATTGCGTTTTTACATAGCCATATTACAAGTATTTAGACTAAACCCCAATATTTTGACTTGACCCAAGTATTTCTAGTTCACTTAATTTATTAAATACATTAGATCAGGGCCCCGGATCAGGGCTAGATCTGAAAATTCACATTGGAGGGGCCGAAACAAATTTTCTCTTCTAAAATGTCGGCCCATTTTATCAAAATTGAGATCGAATTTCCTAAATTCGGGCTTTGCCAATGGGGCCCAACCTGAATGTATTCAAGATTTTATTACTCCTCAATGCTAATGAGGCGACGTTGCATTCCCTGTGATTTTCCATCCTTCATTGGGTATCCTGCATTTTGTTACCATGTTAATCATAAACATCTATAACAATATATGAGTTGCATGAAATTAACAAGTCCTAATAATTTTTGGATAACCTAAAACATCCAAGCGTCCACAAACTATTCAAACGTATTCATATTAACAATCTGCTTGTTTCAGGCGCAACTGTGAATTTCCAAAAGTATTCCTGGTTGGGGCGAGTATTTGATACAAATTATGACTACTGTAGCATTATGCACTACAACCCCTACTTGTTTGCTATTGATTACAATATTAAGACAATCTCACCTAAGCAGTACACTGTACCTCCGTGCCCCGGGGGTGGAGGTATCGGACAGAGAGTTCAACCAACTGATACGGATATATACAAGGTCCAGAGGCTGTATCAGTGTACAGTTACTAAAACCCCATGCCCACCACCCGAACCACAAAAAGGTGAGAGTTTGATGTTCATTCCAGGGCTTTGCCTAAACATTAGTTTTCCTGTTCCCGTTCATTGCACACCGGAAATCCTGACAACGGTAAAGTCAGATACCGTTGTCACAAAGTCGTTTTAATCAATCATGATCAATCACTTGGTCCTCGTTTCATGGGACTTTATCGTCGCTAATTCTGCGCATGTGTTAAGCTAATGTATCATATGAAATCCCAATTTCGATCAAATTGGGTCGAGAATCGCTACAATATAGCGTCTTCGATATCGTCAATGACAACGGAATCTGAATTTGGGATAATTTACAAAGACAACGGCATGTGGTAAATTATTTAAAATTCAGATTCCATTTTCATTGACGATATCGAAGACGCTATATTGTAGCGATTCACGACCTCATTTGATCGAAATTGGGATTTCATATGATACATCATCACAAGAGCTTTAAATACATGCACAGAATTAGCGACGATAAAGTCCCATGAAATGAGGATCAAGTGATTGAAGAGTTGAAGCGACGGTTATGTTCGCCATTTGTGACAACGGTATCTGACTTTACCGTTGTCAGGCTATTCCGGTGTGGGTTGGAGGTATAATGAAAAAGTCAGTTTAAAGATTCCCTCTAATATTCCATTTACACCTATATATGATTTATTCTCTGTTTTTCAACACTAGTAATGTATCGCCAATTTATTTGCTAATAGAGGATTGTTACTACTATTTAACACCAAATAAAAATATTTAAAGTATGATATATTTTCAGTGATTTACTGTCCATTTGAGTCTCATAACGACTGGCCCTGGGATAATTGTGATTTCAAAGCGTCTGGATCTGCCGCAATAATTCACCAATCAGCGCAGAGTGCCGGTAGTTTAGATCCCTTTGCCGAGATGACGTTTTGGGGCACTGAAGGTACAGCTGCATATATCACAATTTCCTAAATAACAAAACATTGAAAAATAATTCGGGGCCGATAATTTGGCCGAGTGGACTACTAGGCCCATAGTATATTAGAGCGCGGTACTTCTCGGGGTTGGAGCAGGCTATCCACATTGCACAATGTTATCCTGACACCATCTTTATATGTGACAATGAAGGAGAACTTACATCTTATTAATATTTCTTATGAAAAGAAGGTTTAAAATCCCTGATTGATTTGGGATTATGATTACTTATCGTCTGTGCGATGCGTCAGATAAACGAACGGTTAATACATTCATTTTTGAATGGCGCTGTCATTTAGGTGTATTAGTCTATATATATTCAGTTTGCAATACAAATGTACTTTAAACACATTTTAGGCAAGGGCAAATACTTGAAGGCTGATGTTGCAAATTCGTTCAATGGAAGTGTTGGATTATATACCTCCCCTGTACTGTCAGCGGGCGATTATTGCATTCAATATGAGTTCTTTATGGAGAACACGCTTTCGCCTCTCAAGGTTTACACAGTACTCGCGGCGGATGGTGTTACGCGAGGTGTTACGCAAAGCGTTACTTATGATCCAAATGCTGAGTGCTACGGGGGTTCAGGTCCGTTGAAAGAAATATATGATTGGCTGTCTATTGACTACTGCGATAACTCAATTAAGAAAATATCTGAACCAAATGATTTCAAGGTGAGAGCTATTCTTGGTTTTGGCTGTCTATGACTTCTTAAACGAAGGAACCTGCAATTTTACGCTATAGATGAACCTCATTATCTCGAATGTAGGCCTATTAAAGTACATGCCATTTTCTTAAATCTATGAGATGATTATGTAATTTTCTTAATGTGATAAATTTGTTCATAAGATAATATTTTTATCGCACTTTAAAAAGTATAATGTTGGCGTCTATCCTGTGCTGGGGGGTGTACGTCTGGGCGGGGGGGGGGCGCACCAAAAATCCGTCACCAAAATTCCAGAAAAGCTTTATCCGTACAACATGATTTTTACAGATGAAAAGCAGACTAGTGCCAAGATTTCATTATTAATGCTGAGTAAATTAAATTGCGGCCATTTTGCGCTTCAAGGTGCTATAAATGATTTGATATTTGAACTAAACGAGGCTTATGTGACATGGAAATTCTGGAGTATGATAGATTTTGGTTTTATGACCTTTACCATATCATGCATTTCCAGTTACCTTCCCTTAAAGCGGTGGAAGATATCGTTGAACTGTGGCGTCCACGCACGGTATTGATCAAATGATCATACTCCAGAGTTTCCATGTCATATGAGTTGGATTAAGTTGAAATATCAAAGCATTACGTCAACTATAAAGTAGTTTAATTCAATGAAAATTAAAAATATCGAAATCGTTACTTCCCGTCCGCCATCTTGAATGTGAAGATGACGGTCGTAACCGTCGCTTGATACTGACCAGTGATATTGTTACGAATGCCAAACTTCGATAGCAACGTTCACTGATACTATAGAGATTTTGCTCATACGTAAAAGCATGATTATACGTATATACGTTATAAGTATCGTTTTGGCGTTTCTCATGAAGATGTACGCATAGAAATGTATATATTTCATCAATAAATTCTAATGTTCTTTTCACCAACCACTACCATGAATCATTTTCGCCTCGGATCGGATATTTATAAACACGCTTAAGTGCGTTGCAAAATCTTTCTACAACTACAATAATCCCAAATTATAACTTCACGCCAAAAACAATAGGTAAAATAACACAAATATTTAAATTATATATACGCAAAAAAACATTATATAAAGTAACGGCCCAATATTACAAATTGAAATTTTACAGGAATTAATGATGAAGTAATGATCCAGGGCTTATGGGGTAGAGGCTAGATGTAAGACTGTGTATAAGGCACGAACATTAATTTATTTTAGGTGGTATTTGAAGTTGATGTTAACAAAGCATCATCCCAAAATGTCATCCTTGATGAGGTCATTATACGTCAAAAGGACCCGGATGTGGATTGCGAATGGCAGTGGCTCACCATAGATGAACTCAATATGGTCTGTCCGGGCTCTGTGGCAATTGTTGATGTCCAATGCCCCGGATGTATTGATGACTCGTGGTACTGTACTCCCCAATGTTTACAAGCGATTGCAGCGTCCTGCTAGCTAGATCTCAATATTGATGTACTGTAAATCAAAATAAATTCTATAAATTAATACGCTGGGTTTAAAAATTGTAACGTATGTTGTGTTCATATTTAGTAAGTATATTTTTGGGGGCAAACAAATTAACGTGGATTTGTTTTTAAAGTTTCCTGTCGTTTAGATCCACACTCATAGTATCTTTACATGTAACGAAGAGAAATGGCCGTAGCCTTTAGTGATCAGCAGGAACCGGGACGCAAATGGATTGCAAACCCCGACTGAGTACATCTTCACTCCGTGTCCCATTGGTTTGTGTCTGTGTGTTTCGAAAAATTAATGAGCTGTAAAACATGTGTAAAAATTTGAAAAATTCCGTTTAGGGGGTTTACCTGGAATCATAATGACAAGATTTATCTAAAAACTTCCAAAATGGCTGCCAAAATCCAAGATGGTCGCTGAAAAGTTAATGAGCTCTAGAATTTCTTACCATGTAACATGTGTACCAGAATGCAAGATGGCTGCCGAAAAGTTAATGAGCTATAAAACAATTCCGTTTAGTGATTTACCTGGAATCGTGGTGAAAAGATTTATCTAAAAACTTCCAAAATGGCTGCCAAAATGCAAGATGGTCGCTGAAAAGTTAATGAGCTCTAGAACTTCTTACCATGTAACATGTGTAAAAATTTGAAGCAATTCCGCCAGGTGTTTTTCCTGGAATCGCGATGATCGATGACAAGAAAGTGAGACACTGCCCGCCCGCTAAGCTGACGACAATATCGTACCATTTTTAGGTACGATAAACATCCAACAATCGACCTTTATCTCAAGTTTCTCATCATTATAAATAACTAGAAATATCTTCTGGAGAGAAGCTAATAGAAGGCTAGCTATGATTTCTCAAGTTGAGTATCAAACAGCTTTAAATCTATATATCGCGTGTTATGAAATAGGAGACTTTACCCCCCTATCACACCAAACTAGTTCTTACCCGTTCTTGCCAGTCCTACGAAAACGTAGTAAAACGGGCTCAATCTGGCTGTGGTCGGGCGGGCGATTATTGCATTCAATATGAGTTCTTTATGGAGAACACGCTTTCGCCTCTCAAGGTTTACACAGTACTCGCGGCGGATGGTGTTACGCGAGGTGTTACGCAAAGCGTTACTTATGATCCAAATGCTGAGTGCTACGGGGGTTCAGGTCCGTTGAAAGAAATATATGATTGGCTGTCTATTGACTACTGCGATAACTCAATTAAGAAAATATCTGAACCAAATGATTTCAAGGTGAGAGCTATTCTTGGTTTTGGCTGTCTATGACTTCTTAAACGAAGGAACCTGCAATTTTACGCTATAGATGAACCTCATTATCTCGAATGTAGGCCTATTAAAGTACATGCCATTTTCTTAAATCTATGAGATGATTATGTAATTTTCTTAATGTGATAAATTTGTTCATAAGATAATATTTTTATCGCACTTTAAAAAGTATAATGTTGGCGTCTATCCTGTGCTGGGGGGTGTACGTCTGGGCGGGGGGGGGGCGCACCAAAAATCCGTCACCAAAATTCCAGAAAAGCTTTATCCGTACAACATGATTTTTACAGATGAAAAGCAGACTAGTGCCAAGATTTCATTATTAATGCTGAGTAAATTAAATTGCGGCCATTTTGCGCTTCAAGGTGCTATAAATGATTTGATATTTGAACTAAACGAGGCTTATGTGACATGGAAATTCTGGAGTATGATAGATTTTGGTTTTATGACCTTTACCATATCATGCATTTCCAGTTACCTTCCCTTAAAGCGGTGGAAGATATCGTTGAACTGTGGCGTCCACGCACGGTATTGATCAAATGATCATACTCCAGAGTTTCCATGTCATATGAGTTGGATTAAGTTGAAATATCAAAGCATTACGTCAACTATAAAGTAGTTTAATTCAATGAAAATTAAAAATATCGAAATCGTTACTTCCCGTCCGCCATCTTGAATGTGAAGATGACGGTCGTAACCGTCGCTTGATACTGACCAGTGATATTGTTACGAATGCCAAACTTCGATAGCAACGTTCACTGATACTATAGAGATTTTGCTCATACGTAAAAGCATGATTATACGTATATACGTTATAAGTATCGTTTTGGCGTTTCTCATGAAGATGTACGCATAGAAATGTATATATTTCATCAATAAATTCTAAAGTTCTTTTCACCAACCACTACCATGAATCATTTTCGCCTCGGATCGGATATTTATAAACACGCTTAAGTGCGTTGCAAAATCTTTCTACAACTACAATAATCCCAAATTATAACTTCACGCCAAAAACAATAGGTAAAATAACACAAATATTTAAATTATATATACGCAAAAAAACATTATATAAAGTAACGGCCCAATATTACAAATTGAAATTTTACAGGAATTAATGATGAAGTAATGATCCAGGGCTTATGGGGTAGAGGCTAGATGTAAGACTGTGTATAAGGCACGAACATTAATTTATTTTAGGTGGTATTTGAAGTTGATGTTAACAAAGCATCATCCCAAAATGTCATCCTTGATGAGGTCATTATACGTCAAAAGGACCCGGATGTGGATTGCGAATGGCAGTGGCTCACCATAGATGAACTCAATATGGTCTGTCCGGGCTCTGTGGCAATTGTTGATGTCCAATGCCCCGGATGTATTGATGACTCGTGGTACTGTACTCCCCAATGTTTACAAGCGATTGCAGCGTCCTGCTAGCTAGATCTCAATATTGATGTACTGTAAATCAAAATAAATTCTATAAATTAATACGCTGGGTTTAAAAATTGTAACGTATGTTGTGTTCATATTTAGTAAGTATATTTTTGGGGGCAAACAAATTAACGTGGATTTGTTTTTAAAGTTTCCTGTCGTTTAGATCCACACTCATAGTATCTTTACATGTAACGAAGAGAAATGGCCGTAGCCTTTAGTGATCAGCAGGAACCGGGACGCAAATGGATTGCAAACCCCGACTGAGTACATCTTCACTCCGTGTCCCATTGGTTTGTGTCTGTGTGTTTCGAAAAATTAATGAGCTGTAAAACATGTGTAAAAATTTGAAAAATTCCGTTTAGGGGGTTTACCTGGAATCATAATGACAAGATTTATCTAAAAACTTCCAAAATGGCTGCCAAAATCCAAGATGGTCGCTGAAAAGTTAATGAGCTCTAGAATTTCTTACCATGTAACATGTGTACCAGAATGCAAGATGGCTGCCGAAAAGTTAATGAGCTATAAAACAATTCCGTTTAGTGATTTACCTGGAATCGTGGTGAAAAGATTTATCTAAAAACTTCCAAAATGGCTGCCAAAATGCAAGATGGTCGCTGAAAAGTTAATGAGCTCTAGAACTTCTTACCATGTAACATGTGTAAAAATTTGAAGCAATTCCGCCAGGTGTTTTTCCTGGAATCGCGATGATCGATGACAAGAAAGTGAGACACTGCCCGCCCGCTAAGCTGACGACAATATCGTACCATTTTTAGGTACGATAAACATCCAACAATCGACCTTTATCTCAAGTTTCTCATCATTATAAATAACTAGAAATATCTTCTGGAGAGAAGCTAATAGAAGGCTAGCTATGATTTCTCAAGTTGAGTATCAAACAGCTTTAAATCTATATATCGCGTGTTATGAAATAGGAGACTTTACCCCCCTATCACACCAAACTAGTTCTTACCCGTTCTTGCCAGTCCTACGAAAACGTAGTAAAACGGGCTCAATCTGGCTGTGGTCGGGAAATATGTCTGAAATAATTAGCTTCTTCGTTCTTAAACAGTCTTCAATACGTTCATCTTCAGTCCATCTCGTTCGCAGTTCGTTCAGGTCGCACCACGTCGGTGTGCAACGTCGTAGAACGCGTCCCTTATTCTAGAAGGTCAACATGACCTGATTACAGAACGGTATGGTCGCCATCGAATTTTGAATCGATTCAAAATTCTAAAATCACATTCCCGTCTGAGAACGTTCATAAAGTTCGCAAATAGACCTTAGAAAGTTGCAGCTACGTTCATTCCGTTCGCACACAGTTTAAAACCAGTTTTGAAGAACGCAGTGGCAACTTGTTTGGTGTGATAGCTATATTTTTGCTAACTCGCTCATAAGCAGTGTTAAATACGTTCTTAATTAGTTTAAACCCGTTTGCAATTAGTTCTACCTCGTTCTCAACACGTCCTCAGACAGTTCAACTCGTTGATAAAACGTCCCTAGTAGGATTGAAGTACGATGGTTCCGTTCGTAGTACGTCCAGCTCGTCGTTAGTACGTTGTCACTCGTTCTAATTGTAGAACGTGACGACCACGAGAACATTTTGAGCATTGTCTAAGTTCTAGAGGACCTACACGTTCGAGTACGTTCGATGAAGTTTGTAAATAGATCCCAAACGGTTCTTAGTAGGTCCAGTCCGTTCGTACACAGTTGAAGTCCGTTTTCGAGAACGTAGTGAGAACTAGTTTGGTGTGATAGTAGGGTTAGATATAAAGATGGCGGTCTTTTGTAACGTAATGTAACAGTTTGGCCTTTTTTGTGGATATGTGGTAGTGTGGCTAATAAAAAGACCACTGTTTAGTAAACGGTGTTTACTTGTGGATTGCACGGCACACGTTAAATGTGCTTTGTCCCTAAAGAATTAAACAAAATATACAATTTTATATATATAATATAAAACAATATATTGTGGCGTTTATAAGCCCAAATAAGATGTACATGCAATTTCAAATGTAATGTAAGAATATTACGGTGTTATTATTTCTCTCAAAACTCACATCTCAAAAGTCCATATAACCTAATGTTTATCACTAATAAAACAATATCCAGAGTCCATTTAAACTAATTTGATGATCACTATATACACTGCTGTATCTCCAATATTAAGTCCATATATGTTGTAATACTTGTAAGTCTTGGATTGTACTTGTAACTTGAACCTGAAATAGTAATCTCCTGGATCCTCTTCAATGTAGTGTAGTATGATTCAAGTTTGATATGAAATCACCTAAGTCAACTATCGGCTCTGCAAATGTCTATCTCCTGGATCCTCTTCAATGTGCTGTAGTATAATTCAACTTCGATGATGTAAAATAATCTAAGTCAAACTATTGCTCCATAAACGGCTATCTCCTGGATCCTCCTCAATGTGTTGTAGTATAATTCGACTTTGACTATGTAAAATAATCTAAGTCAAATTATCAAGTCTGGAAACGACTATCTCCTGGATCCTCCTCTATGTGTTGTAGTATAATTCAACTTTGAGTATGCGAAATAATCTAAGTCAAACTATCGGCTTTGTAAATGGCTATCTCTTGGATCCTCCTCACTGTGTTGTAGTATAATTCAACTTTGATTATGCGAAATAATCTAAGTCAAACTATCAAGTCTGGAAACGACTATCTCCTGAATCCTCCTCAATGTGTTGTAGTATAATTCAACTTTGATTATGTGAAATAATCTAAGTCAAACTATCGCTCTGTAAACGGCTATCTCCTGGATCCTCCTCACTGTGTTGTAGTATAATTCAACTTTGATTATGCGAAATAATCTAAGTCAAACTATCGGCTCTGTAAATGGCTATCTCCTGGATCCTCGTCACTGTGTTGTAGTATAATTCAACTTTGATTATGTGAAATAATCTAAATCAGACTATCGGCTCCATAAATGGCTATCTCCTGGATCCTCCTCACTGTGTTGTAGTATAATTCAACTTTGATTATGTAAAATAATCTAAGTCAAACTATCGGCTCTGTAAATGGCTATCTCCTGGATCCTCCTCACTGTGTTGTAGTATAATTCAACTTTGATTATGTAAAATAATCTAAGTCAAACTATCAAGTCTGGAAACGACTATCTCCTGAATCCTCCTCAATGTGTTGTAGTATAATTCAACTTTGATTATGTAAAATAATCTAAGTCAAACTATCAAGTCTGGAAACGACTATCTCCTGAATCCTCCTCAATGTGTTGTAGTATAATTCAACTTTGATTATGTAAAATAATCTAAGTCAAACTATCGGCTCTGTAAATGGCTATCTCCTGGATCCTCCTCACTGTGTTGTAGTATAATTCAACTTTGATTATGTAAAATAATCTAAGTCAAACTATCAAGTCTGGAAACGACTATCTCCTGGATCCTCCTCAATGTGTTGTAGTATAATTCAACTTTGATTATGTGAAATAATCCAAGTCAAATTATCAAGTCTGGAAACGACTATCTCCTGAATCCTCCTCAATGTGTTGTAGTATAATTCAACTTTGATTATGTGAAATAATCCAAGTTAAACTATCGGCTCTGTAAATGGCTATCTCCTGGATCCTCCTAAATGTGTTGTAGTATAATTCAACTTTGATTATGTGAAATAATCTAAGTCAAACTATCAAGTCTGGAAACGACTATCTCCTGAATCCTCCTCAATGTGTTGTAGTATAATTCAACTTTGATTATGTGAAATAATCTAAGTCAAACTATTGCTCTGTAAACGGCTATCTCCTGGATCCTCCTCAATGTGTTGTAGTATAATTCAACTTTGATTATGCAAAATAATCTAAGTCAAACTATCGGCTCTGTAAATGGCTATCTCCTGGATCCTCCTCAATGTGTTGTAGTATAATTCAACTTTGATTATGCAAAATAATCTAAGTCAAACTATCGGCTCTGTAAATGGCTATCTTTTGGATCCTCCTCACTGTGTTGTAGGATAATTCAACTTTAATTATATGAAATAATCAAAGTCAAACTATCGGCTCTGTAAATGGCTATCTCCTGGATCCTCGTCACTGTGTTGTAGGATAATTCAACTTTGATTATGCAAAATAATCTAAGTCAAACTATCGGCTCTGTAAATGGCTATCTCCTGGATCCTCCTCAATGTGTTGTAGTTAAACTATCACAATCTTCCAACTACTAAGTCCAAAAAACGTCTAATACATGGCATCAACTGCTAAGTACATGTAGCCTACTTCCTTCACAATTAAATAATCAGGCTACCTACAAATATAGCATGCACACAACAACATAGGCAAAAATATTACAAGTCAAAATATGTGCCCTTGAAAATAACTAAGTTCAGTTGATGTTGAGTTATACTGATATTGAAATATTCTAAGTTCAATATTTATTCTCCAAAAAAAACAAAGTCCAAAATAATGTTTTTCCAAATATTGACTAAGTTCAATAATTTCTATCTCAAAAATACGCTAAGTCCAATTTCATGTGTTCATGAAATTGAACTGACAGAGCTCAGAAATATAGGCTTGATGCCGCCTCCAAACACGGTTCTGAATATTCCCTCTTGAGGTATCCTCTACACAAATACACGGGTAGATGGCCAAGTTATCATCTACAGAATCACGGTGTAGCAGTCTTCCCTCTCAGGCATCCTTCATCACAAGTAGATGTCCAAGTTATCATCCACTGAACTGAAGTGCAGCTATGTATCTCCTATCTGCCTCGGGAAATATTCAAAGTCCCAACAACTTTCTACTGAAAGTTGTCAAAGTCCAAAAATATTTCCTTGAAAAACGACTAAGTCCAACTTCACATAAAAATATGAAATTGAACGGAGCTCTGTCCCGAACGAAAGCTAGCTGTAATCTGCCGAGTTTACATCGGCGAAATACTTATATAGGCCTGGTGACGTCATCACTTTTCGAACAAGATTTCAAAGTTGAATAACAAGTTATTGACGCCATATCCCGCTTTAATATTACGCATACAACAAGATTTTAATATTGACTCAAGAAATATAACAGTAATTGATCGCTACTTACTCTAG